CTCTAAAGGGCCAGATAATACTTCATGTTTTGTGAGCCATATACAATTCTGTTGCTGCTTCTTCTTTTATCTTCATCTTCATGGTCATCTTCGACCTTTTAAAAATGTAAAAACCATTCTTAGTTCAGGCTGTACATTTAAATTAATCTGTCTCTCTTATCCATTAATCTCTAGAACCAGTACTTTTTGTTACAACTGATGTGTACTAAATAATTGCTAAGTTAATATTTTTAAAATAGTTTTATTGAGATATAGTATATTGTTTAAAGTGAGCAATCAAATGGTCTTTGGTATTTTTTGCAGTTTTACAACCATTTCCATAATATGTTATCTTAAATTTTAGAACAGTTTCATCACCCCAAAGCTACTTTTTTACAGCTATAAGGTATAATTTATATGCAATAAAAATTACCCATTTTGAGTAGTGTGAATTTTATAAAGCTAATTTTAATATTATCCAAAAGGAAATATTCTTAGGGATACTTCTTTTATCACATGCAATAAATATGACTTGTAAACATTACTCCTCAGTGATCTCCACTTTTGCCCCCAAGCCAGTGAGTGATTCTATAGTCCCTGGAGCAGCAACATCCACATCACCTGGGAACTTGCTGGAATCATGGCCCACTTTATGCCCAGAAATCTGTATTTTAATCAACCCTCTGGGTAATTTGAGTGCATACTATAAAGTTTGACAACCACTGCTCCAAGGTTCTTCCTGTGTTTAATTGCTGAGTTGTGGAATATGGGCATGTTCAACTTTATTGGATATTACCATACTGCTTCCAAACTAGTTATACTTGTATATATTTGTTCTAGGAGTATATGAGAATTCCTATTGTTTTATATCCTTTCCAATGCTCCAGAAAAACAACTTAAAAGTTTTTTGGTCAATCTGACAGGCAAGAAGTGGCTATGATCTTAACTGGCATTTTCCCAATTACTAATGAGGTTGTCCATCTATGAGATGGGCTATTTGAATTTTGTATTCTGTGATATGCTATTTGGAGTCTTTTGCCTATTGAAATAAATAAAATTATGTAAGTAAATAGTGTGTTAGGGCTGGGGTTGTAGCTTAGTGGTAGAGGGCTTGCCTTGCATGTATGGACTCGATCCTCAGCACCACATAAAAAATAAGTAAATAAAATAAAGATTAAAAAATAGTGTATTAAAATCATCACAGAACCAACCCAGAATTCCCAAGGCAAAAGAAATTAGGCAGGGGTACAGGGGAACCAGGGAAGAATCCCAGGGGAGATGATGGTCAAGTGGTCCTGAAAGGATAGGAATTTGTTAGACGGACTGAGGCAAGGCCATCTGTGTGGTAGGAACAGCATGCCTGATCAGGAAAGCAAGTAGTATGGTGTGGTAGACTAGTAGGGTACCTGGAAGGAAAAGAGTCCCATAGGGCTAGGAAAAAAAGGTAGAAAGCAATTAGGTGTAAGTGCAACTGAAATTACTACATCAAAATAAAGGAAGTATGATTAATTTCATAGTTTTCTTACATATTTCAAGGTTACCCTCCATCAGACATTAGGGACATACAAATCAAAACCACACTGAGATACCATGCCATACGCACTAGGATGGTGCTTTGGTTTAGTTTAGTGTCCCCCTAAGATCCATGTGTTGAAGCCTTAGTCTCTAGGGTGGCACTATTTATTGTACGTTAATGGAACCCACAGGAGGTGGGGCCTAATGGGAGCTCCTTCCATCATTTGGGTTGTGTCTTTGAAGGGCATTGCGGAACCTCTTTTGCTTCTTGGCCATGAGATCAACAGTTTGCTCCATCATGTGCTTCCTATTCTTGCTGTCCTCATGTCCTCAGAGGCCCAAAGCAATGGGCTCACCCAGTCTTGGATAGGAAACCCTCAAAATATGAGTCAAAATAACCTTTTTCAGTTTATAAGTTAGTTATCTCAGGTCTTGTTATAGTGTTGGAGAATGGACTAACACAGGTGACTATAATTAAAAATATAATAATAAATGGTGGTGAGGATATAGAAAAATTAGAAACCTCATAACTGCTGGTGGGAAAGTAAAATGGTACAGCAACTTTGGAAAAGTTTGGTATTTCCTGAAAAAGTTAAAAACAAATTTACCATATGACCAGACAGTTTCACTCCTAGATATATAGGAAGTGAAAATATATGTCCACACACAAAAACCTGTACAGAAGTATTTATGTAAGCATGACACAAGCAGGACTGCAGCGAGGTCCCGTGATCGTCCCCAGGTGGTCCTGGAGTCAGGATCGCCTCTGCCCCAGGTAACCGCTCCCAGCCGACGATCCGTGTCCTGAAGAAAGAAGCCGCTGCACACGATATGCCTTTTCGAATGCTCGGTTTATTCACACCAGGTTTCATCACATCACACGAGGCACAGGAACAGAGACTGGCGGGGCTCAGTTCGCTCGATGTTGACCCACTGACATCGTGGATCTGAACTGACCAAAGAGCTCAGCCTTCCTTGCCCTTAAATACTATAGTTGTTTACAACACTTCAAACCAAAAACATGTTTACGTCGTGGCTTCTATCTCTTATCCTATCTTCACAGATTGTGTTTACACTGCATCACAACACGCTTATCCTAAACTACCACACTTGTTTGTGCTAAAATACATCAAAACATGTTTACCTTATATCCTTATCTAACTCACACATATTTCTAACTTATGCACCCTTCTTCATCAAAACATGTTTACTTCAAATTCTCCTGTCAAAGCATCATTCATAATAGCCAAAAGGTGGAAACAACCTAAATGTATAATTAAAGGTGAATGAATGAACAAAATGTGGTATATCCATATAGTAGAATATCATTCAACCATAAAAAGAAACAAAGTACTGATAGATGCTGTAACATGGATGAACCTTGAAAATGTTATGCCAAGAAGCCAGTCACAAAAGACTACATATTGTGTGATTCTGTGGTGTGGTAGACTAGTAGGGTACCTAGAGGTACCTATGTGAAATTTCCTGAATAGGCAAATCCATAGAAATAGAAAGTAGATTAGAGGTTGACAGGGGCCAAGTTGGGAAAGGAGTGTAAAATTACTGCTAGTGGGATTTCTTTTGTGGGTATGCAATATTCTAAAATTAGACTATGTAATGGTGTACATCTTTGTGAATATCCTAAAAACGACTGAATTGTATACTTCAAATGGGTTAAATTTTTGTCATTGGAATTATATCTGAATAGATTATTTTGTTAATAAAATAAGATGAAAATAAATTTCAACCTCCCCATATTTTGTTTTCTCACCATTATCGTAGTATTTTCTATTTATCCTGCGCCCCACATCTTTTTAAACTGATATTTACACAATAACAGTTGTACTTTTTGTATTGGTGGAAAACCTACAGTGCCAAGTTATTTATATTTTAATAATTACCACAGTATCTTCAGAAATTTGCAGCATAGAGGTATATAATATATGAGTTGTATGGTTATCCATTCCGTAGTCTGTGCATAGTGACTGTATGATTATTCATGGATGCATGGCAACGATTTTGAAAGCTACTGGGGAATTGGAGCTACTAAGTTGGGAACTACTTAATTATAAATCAGAAGTGAGATATAAATAATGGCTAGTATGGAAAATTATACTCTAATTATGTATTTTCAAAATTCAGTTCCTGAAGTGATCATTTTCTTTTAAATACTGAAGATTGCTTAAAAATTCCAGTTTAGAAGTGACTTTTAAAATGTACTTATTTGGATTGTGGATGTAGCTCAGTGGTAGTGTTTATGCATAGCATGTGTGAGGCCCTGGGTTCAGACCCCAGCACCCACCCCCAAAAGCGAACGAAGAAGAAGAAACATCGTAGGAAAAAAATCAGAAGTAAACTTAATGTCTAGTAATGCCTAAATAAGTTTTGGGTATGTTTATCTGTTGGAAAATTAGGCAGCAATTGAGTATTATAATTAAGAATTGTAGTTCTTATAATCTAGCAATTTAAAAACAGGATAGGATATATTATCATGTATCTCTAAACATTTTGACTGTGATTACATGAAGTGTTTATGTACATGGCAAAAGACAGGAAGGTAGTAATGGTTGTATTCAAATAGAGAACTCTGGGTTTATTTTTTCTTCTTTTTGGAATACTTACTTAGCAGTTGGTATGTGCAAAACATAATAACCTTTTTTCATGATTTAACTCAGAGGTCATCAAATTATAGTGAATTAGGCCTACCAGGCCTATTTTTCTTTGATCTTTGAGCTAAAAATCATTTTTACATTTTTATTTTTTAAACTAATTTTAACAATATAGCATATTTAACCCAATATACCCCAATAATAATTTTAACATGATAAATATTTAGAAATATATTCATGATGTATTTTTTTAACCAGGTCTTTGAAATTAGATGTGTTTGATACTTACAGCACATCTCAAAGTGGTCTAGTCGTGGCTTTACATTTTTAAAAAAATTTTTTTAGTTGTTTAATAGATATTTATTTATTTATATGTGGTGTTGAGCCTCAAACCCAGTGCCTCACTTATGCCGGCAAGTGCACTATCCCTGACCCCCAGCCCTAGCCCCAGTTCCATGGCTTTACATTTTTTTTAAATATTTATTTTTTAGTTGTAGTTGGACACATTACCTTTATTTATTTATTTCTATGTGGTGCTGAGGATCGAACTCGGCCTCGCACATGCTAGGCAAGCACTTTTCCATGGCTTTACATTTTTAAGGAGTTATTTTTTCTAAAAGAGAAGGAACAAATCGACAAAGACCTTAAATTGTCTACAAAGTCTAAAATAATCACAATGTGGTGCTTAACAGAAAATTTTGCTGATCCTTGATTTTATTCATTTTATCCTGACAGCATTCCAATAAGGTGGGTGCTATTATTATCATCCCTATTTTACAGATGTGAAAACAGAAGCACAAAGGGTTTAAGTAACTTTTTCTTGGTCGCATTCACCATGTTTTAGAACAGATTGCAGGCTCATTTCTATAAACTTGCTAATATTGTGTTTCTTTGCAGAGTAAAAAGTGGATAGTGGCTCACGTGTCAAAGGATGGCACGGTCACGATCTAGATCGCCCAGGTGGAAACACAGGTGAGCAGTTCTTAGTTTAGCAGAGTAAGCAACTTGGAGTTGGGATGTGCTATGACTTTGAAATTCACCAGTATTGGTTTAAAATCTATTTAAATAAACTCATGGGACTTGGTTATTCACAGTAGGTGATTTATCATGGAAGAGGTTGTATTTCTAGTTTCTAGGAGCTGACAGTTTAATTATTGGCATCTAGAATTAATTTATAATAAAAAGAAATGGAGTGGTCACAGCAAGGGAGAGTGAGAAACATCTTTGAGAGTGTTACATTTTTTAAAAATTCACGTGTGGTTCAGAACTCTTCTATGTGCGTTTTATCTTATTTTTTCATAATCTATGTGTTTGAAGAAATGTAGAATCAGAAAATAAGGAGGTTCTAGTTTCTTCTTCATGGCAGAATAATAGTTTTGAAGAGCCCAATTGTATTTCAACTCCTCTCTTTTCTGGTGGGTAATATCAACAGTATATATATGCATAGACTGGAACAGTTCAATGTCTATTGTACATATGCTACAGCCAGGTTCTGGGGCTTCCATCTTCAGTGGCCTCAGCATGTATACAGGCTGGCTGGAGAGACCGACATGATAGCCAGCTATGATCCAGTAGGAATGGGACAAAGCCTTCTGGATCTACAGGGAGAGAATAATTCTGTGTCTGTGGAGGGAACTAAGAAAGTCTTTTAAAAAGAGGTGACAATTTTAGCTGGACATTGAAGGATAGGTAAAATTTTTAAAGGTAGAAAGAGTGAATCAAGTATTCTGATTAAGGGAGAGAAGAAAAGCAAAGGCATGGATCAGTAAATGCAGTTAGTTTGTCTTGGGACTTTTAAAAAGGACCATATTCTCATACATAAGACAGTGTAGTGACTAATCAATCAGTTCTTCAACAGTTTTCATTTTGTAATGGGGAAGATCTTCAGAAAGAAAAGGGAATACAAAGAAACAAAGGATTTGAACGTGGAAGGTATCACAGAGGTTGTTTTGTTTCACCCTTTTGTGATGATGGACACAAGAGACCCTGGGAAGCTTAGGGAGAGCCTGATTTCTGGATTTCTTCTTAGGTTTCTTTGTCAAGAACTATAAAGGGGAAAAAAACAACTATAAAGGTTCTGATATTTTATTCTACCTGCAAGCTAGTGTGTTAGCTTGCCACAAAGCATTCCTGGGTCAGAGACAAAGGCCTTTATTACTCATACTACAGTAGGCAGTTTGAGCTTTAAGTTCCTATTGTACGCCCTACCCTCTAGGTCTCCTGAGGGCCAGCACTGTGAAGTAGCTGGCTGGGTGGATGATGCAAAGCAGTGGGATTACCCATTGTCTTTGCCAACAATGGAATTTTGACATAACTGAAGAACCTGAGTTTCCTATGAATAGCTGTAGGGAAAGCCCCCAGCCTTTTTACCTTGGAGGAGACATTATCTTATTATTCTGGGCAGCAAACAAACCAGCCTTCAGTCCCTGAGGGAGTCTCTGTCTCTATTTCCAAGGCTGTTTTCCTTGAAACAAAAGCTGTCAGTGCCTCTGCTCACAAGGCTTGCCTTGCTGAACTCCAGAGACTAGAGAACTCTCCCCCAACAGACTCCAGTTTTCTTTTGTCCCTTTAGGAGAATCAAATATAACAACCTTTCTAGCAACCTCCAGAAGATAGGGGTGGTATATAATAAAATATGATATAAAATATAGTCTCAAAGCAGTTTTTAATGTGAAATAAGGTTTACTTTAAGATCTTGAGTATTTTCTTCAGTCTGCAAAGTTTCTGCCTCAGACTACTAGCTTTTCTCCTTGGTAGTGAAAGAGATGGACTCTTCCATTTAAAGACTTCTTGTGATGAGGTATAGCCAGCTGGATAGCAGAGTTTCGTTTCAATGAAATAATACCAATATGTCCAGCTTGGTGACTCCAGAGGGAAATAATTGCCAAATCTAGTATATATGTCTCAGTAGGTACCCAAATAAGATAGATCTGCTTCCTTTAATGTATGGAAAACACAGACTTGTCACTAAAAGGAAAAAGGTCACTCATGGTTGCTCCAACTCTGTGGTACCTTCTGAGAAGGGATGATTTAAAAAAATGCAAAAGAGGCTTGCTCATTGATGAGAAGACATTAAACCTTCAGAAAGGAGATTGAGGCAGGTCAGATTGGTTAATGTCCTCGGGTGCAAAATTGAATTTTATTGTGTTCCAGATAGTGGTGTTCCTCTCTCTTATCTTTAAGGCTGGGGAACCCAGACTGGTTTCCCTGGATATAGGAGCCTTCCTCCTCAGTGGGAATACAAGACTTCATGTTGGCAAGGCTGAGGTACTAGAGAAGGTAGATACAGAAGGCATGTGTTGTCCCTGGAGACTATTGTAGTTGCATTAAAGCACACTTTCACCAAAGTTAACAAGCTGTTTGAACAGCACATCTTTCAGTTGATATATAAGGGAGCAGGAGTGGGAAAGAAAAGCAACTTATCTGTGATAGAAGTACTTAAAGCAAAACTGAACCTAAGATTCAAGTCTTAAGACTTTTCTGTCCCCTCTCCCTGCCACCTGCTAAGTATATGTCTCTTATTGATACAGCTTTAGGAAAGAGAATAGACAATCAGTTGGAAAAACTATGGAGTCAATAAGGTGTCTGAGTTTGGATTGTAACATCATTGGATCTTAGAATCTAACTTAATTTCAGAGGCTGGGTTTGATTTTTTTTCAGACACTCTCATACATGTTTATTCGTGTTGATCTACTGTTTCTGCTTATTTCTTACTTGGCCATTAACTCTGAGACAAGCTTTTGCTGATCAGCCCTTTGAAGTCACTACATCTTTTTTTTGCCAGTACTTTGCTATTAACAATCTTCCAAAATAGATCTTGCCTTGAATCTAAGCTGGTCCTGCTTTAGTAGGATGGGTGTACTCAGCCCATTTTGACATGCATATGGAATACACTGGTTCAGACCCCCCTCCATGTACAATTCAAAATGCATATATGTAGCAAATTGATGAATTTAGTTTGAGTAAGAGAATCAGTGGAATTTTAGGAAAGGCAAATGTTTTAGGTAGGACATATTAAGACAAAGAGTTTATTGTCTTAAAATGGGCTAAACTTTTCTGTGTTTGTTTACATAGGTCTTTATCACCAGTACCTAGAAATTTTGAATACTACAAGCAAAGATATTCTCATGGGCATTATGACTGTGAATATAGAAAATATCCGAAAAGACCTGTTGCTTGGAGAATGGACAGTGAGAAACATGAACAGAATAAACAAAGAATTCCCCCTCGTGGAAATCTATATTACCGATCTTATGAACATAGATCACCTTCCCCCGAGATAAGAAACTCTGTAGAAAATTTTTACACATATAATCCTCACCGAGTGTATTCACCAGGAAGAGGGGATGGTAACAGAAGATCTCAGTATATACCCACATACTCAGAGGGTGTACCCTACATAGAGCATGAGAGGAATTGTTATCCCCAGAAAATGCAAGGAAGGTATATTCCTGATGACCGCAGAATTAGAGGAAGTGGGAGAAGAGGGAAACCACCTCAGAGGTCAGTAGCAGATTCCTTTAGGTTTGAAGGGAAGTGGCATGAAGATGAGTTGAGGCACCAGAGGATGCAAGAAGAAAAATATTCCCAGTCACCTAGAAGAGGCTCAGAAGACTTTGACACAAGGAGCTCTTTTCAGAAGAGGTATAGGAAAACATTAAACCTGGGTAATTTGGTATATAAAGCCTCAAGTGAAAAGTCTATTTACTTTATGGTTGAAGATAACCACCTTGAAAAGCTTTTGTTTAAAAAAGATAAAAAGCATTGTAATATAGTTGTGGTCTACTGGTAGTAGTAGTGAAATTATTTCTTTTTAGAGTAAATCATGTTAGCTAAAATGTTTAAAAAGATGGTATTTTCCTGTATAACTACCTTTGCCTCTATGCAGGCTTGTGGGATTATAGGTTATCTTTACAACTGCATTCTACATTTAAAGCCATGCTACCCAACATTCTACACATATAAATTCTTACTTTCTTCTCTGTAGTGCAAGTGTAAACTGCTTTATGTCAACACAGGTATCCTGAGGATCGTGATTTCAGAAAATATGGACACACATCAAAAAGACCTAAAGACGTGGCGAGGTATGAGAACAGAGAGCCTGCCAGAAACCCAAAGTGGAAGCCTGAGCATTTTCCTCCACCTTACCAAGAAAAGAAAGATCAGCGCAATTTTGCACCTCAAACTCACCGATATGCTGAGAGGGACTATCCAGAGACCAGTTCAGCAACCAAAGTGTCCTATGACTATCGCCACAAGCATCATAAGCTCTCAGAAGGTGACCAGGACTTTTCTGATGGGAGAAATCAGAAATACTTGAAAGAAGAAGATAGAAAACACAGTTCTCAAAAAGGCCCTATAGGTAGAGAGTCAGATTGTTTTAATGCCGGAAGAGGGAGAGAGACTGAAGATGGGCAAGTCAAAGAACTTTTTAAACCATCTAAGAAAGACTCAGCGGCCTATACTCATTCAAATAAAAATGAGGTTGATTTGAAGCCCTGTAATGACAAACGAAAGAAAAAAATAAAGAAAGAAGAGGAATTCAAAAAGGAGAGCAACTCCTCCAGTAACCAACCTGATACAAGTCAAAAACTTTCCAATGTGAAACACTCGTCTGTCAATATTAAGAAGAAATCACTTACAGTTAAAGTAGATGTGAAGAAAACAGTAGATACATTCAGGTATTATCTTCATTTTTCTTTATGATATTTAATAAATGTTTCTGCCACTTCTTTTTGCAGTTCAAAAATGGAATTGGTAGTGTGCTTGGAGTTCCATAAAGGAGTGGAAAGGATTGCTTGGATTTTTTCCCAAAAGCCTTGTAATGAGGATGAATCCTGTGATTAGTAATAGAAAGTGATCTCATGTCTGCATGTTCCCACATCTTATTTCCAGATGCTTCCTGGGTGCATGGCATTCTGAGGAGTTGTTTCTCTTCACGGATTTATGCTGCCAGGTTTTCCTTTCTAGGGATAGGCTGGGTGGAGTTCAGGAAGACCTATTCTTTGCGAAGTTTCTCAGAACCTGTGTTCCCTGTTGCCTGATATTCAGAGAATTTTTGAGTGAAAAGGTCCTGGTTTTATAGAGGAAGAAAGCAAAGTCCTGAGAGATGAAGTGACTATGTCAGAGTGGCTGACCCACCCCTACCCTCATGACTCCAGGAGGCAGAGAACTTATTGTCATTCCTGCTACCCTGTCAAAATGACTGGGCTTAACTGACTAGATTCTCCCAGATAGAGGAAATTAGGCTATAATCTGGGGAGATGCTTATTTATAAGACATTTGCTTTAGCTCTTAATGAGTCTTAAAAAAAAGACTGCTATTGTAATAGGTTATAGTCTAAGGCAAGCTCACATGCTTTTTTCCATTATGAATATTATCTCCATTTATGGATTCTGACAATAATAAGATGCTGCAGTAGCTATGTCAGCTAAATCTGTTCATTATCTTAATATACTACCAGTATGTCAATGAAAAAGGGATGGACCATGTTCATTTGGTGCATTCATATTCACAGTTGACTCCTATTTGTATTTGAATCAAAACAAGAAAATGAAATGGGAAAGAGTAAGATGGGAGTGGGAAGGGAGGTAAACCCAAGGTCTTGATTTTTTAAACAAAATATTTTCTGTTTCTTCAAGTTAAGCATAACAGTCATCCTTCTGCATACTTTCTTTACATTCCTGTACTTACAGAAAATATATTATAATATGTATATTTATATGTGCTTAAAATGAATTAATAAATTGTGTCACTTTTGAAGACTACTAGAAATACCAATTTTGAAGAGTTTTGTTTTTCTAAACTTCATTCAAGATACTGCACAGTTAATTTTACAATTTGATATGAGAAATGGAAGCTTGATCATCATCATGGATCACGAAAATGAGCTTCCACAAAAATGGAGGCTACTGCACTTGTGTTTTAAATTTTAAAACTATAATTATATGAAATCTCATCATCTGTCAGTGGAGTTTGGCAGCACATGTTTGAATACCTGCCCAGGGCCTGCAGGATGGCTTGTGTAATAAAGAGCCTTGACTGCAAAACCTCTCTGTTCAGAGACCTGAAGAATAAATAACTGAAAAAATGTGTGCATCTTTTCAGTTTGATAAAGCATCATAGTCAACAAAAGCTTTCTCTGTGATTATAATTATTTGTTGATGAATGAATTGTGGACGAGATTTGTGGGTTGGATTTAATTACGTGGGGACTGAAGAAGTACCCATAAAACAAAGGTAATTAATGCCCTCAATAGAATTTATGTTTTCAATTATTAACATAAATTAGATTTTTCTTTGTTAAGAAAGATTAAAATAATCATAATTATAGAGTGCAGAGAAAGGTTTATTTGATGGTTAAAATTGAGAGAGTTTATCCACTTTTTTTTGAAATACTAAGATATTTTGTGTATCTGTTTGATTAATTTTGGTCAGTTATTAGTATGGTTAAAAAGGTATCGCCTAGTGATTTTTCTAGATTCCAATTTGTATCTAGAACAGCAATAGGTAGACACTTGCTTGAATATTCCTTGTGTAGTTAGTACTGCTGTTAACAAAGAAGAATTCTAGTGACTCACTGTAAGAAACTTCATTATCAGAGGTAAAAGGTATATGAGTCATAATTATATATGTTTCAGAATGTAAATTAGAGAGTTACAATATGAACATTTCTACTAAGATCATTGTGTACCCAAAACATGAATTGTTGTATACATCTGGAAGTCTTAAAGCAGATGAAGTGAGTTGCTGGTTTCATGTCGGGTCAGGGAAGTAGAAGCGAGGAGAGAGGAGAAAGTGGGAAGGAGGAGGCAGTTCTAGTTTCTGGAGCAAAATAAGCTGTCGCCGATGGACCCAAGGCTCCTTTAATTTCCTGAGATGTTGGTACAAGACACCTGGGATAAGGAAGGTTGGCTATCAGAGTTGATGGTGAGCTGAGTGAGTACACCAGCCACATTTGCATCTAGTCTTTTGTTTACCACTGAAGAGATACAAAGAAGATTTCCCTGCCCCAATCAGATCTTTCCCCATTCTGAAAAGAGATGAGGTGGGTGATAGGTGCCAGAGGATGCTGAGGAAATAGATTCAGCACAGATGGGGAACAGTGTGAAAACCCATAGCTAGAGTTTTGAAGGAAGGTAACCTATAGCCTATAGGTGGAGATACTTGCTCTTACATAGAATTAAAAAACTAAAGCCTTGTACCGAGCCACATCCCCAACCTTTTTTTTATTTTAGTATTCACTAAGTGAAATACTTCATTTTTTTATTGATTTTATTTTTTAAATACGTGACAGTGGAATGTATTATAATTCTTATTACACATACAGAGAACAATTGTTTATTTCTCTACTGGTATATAAATTATGTTCACACCAATTCATGTCTTCATACATGTTCTTTGGATAGTGATGTCCATCACATTCCACCATCATTGTTAACCCCTTTTATTTAGAGACAGGGTCTCACCAAGTTGCTGAGGCTGGCTTTGAACTCACAGTTCTCCTGCCTAAGCCTCCCAAGCCACAGGGATCACAGATATGTGCCACTGCAGCCAGCCTCATTTCTGGTTTTTACTCTAGCTTCTCTTTGTGTCTTTCAGGGAAACTGATAGAGGGAGGTAAACACTCTGTTAGGGGCTGTGGTTCAAAGGTTTTTGTCTTCCTGTGAGCCACTGAGCAGCTCTGTGACATTGGGCAGGTCATCTGGCTATACTCTTTTGGCCCCAATTAACCTGAAGTTTCTCTAATCTTGCTTGGATTGGCCATGTGTTGATAGCTATGGAAGCTGAGTTGACAAGGCACTTGAAGGCTCATATAGTTCTCTGAACTTTTGCATATTCATATGCAAAATATTTAAGAACTAAATATTTTAAATTTAAATTTATCAGAATTAAACAAAAAATGTAAAAAGGTAAGCTAAGAAACTTAAAAATAAAAATTAAATTGGCCTCAATAAAATGTTAAAATCTATTATCTTCTTAGCTGAAACATTCATTTCAGAGTGGTCAAGTCATTTTCCATTTATCATTTATTTATTCACTGGGTATTTTTGAGGCCCCATCTTATTTGAAATAGCCTTTTGGGATACCCCAAAAGTATAGGCTGAATAAGATTAGGATCTTTTTTTCTCCTTTGGTTTTATAGATGAATATGGTAATGTTGGCAATACCACAGTACAGCTAGTGATTCATGGGGTGGTGTATGGCTGAGCAGCAGAACAGGTGATACCAGACTGGGAGATTCAGGGAAGGCTTCGTGCAGGAGTTGACCTGTGAGCCAAGCTTCAAAAATTTGTATGTTTTTGGTACATGAAAATGAGGTGAAAAACATTTTATATAATAAAGGTTAATGAAGGCAGAAAAACATACCCAGGAACTCTGAGCCGGGTGGTTCTGAAAAGGAACAGAGAGAAAGGAGACTAAGAAGGTAGGCAAGTCATGACTGCCAGCCTGATTTGATACTGCAGGTCTGGTATCCCTTATCTGAAATGCTTGGGAACAGAAGTAGTTCAGATTTAGGATTTTTTTAAATTTGGGAACATTTGCATTTACATAATGAGATATCTTGGTTATGACCCTAGTCTAAACATGAAATTCATTTTTAAAAAATATTTTTTAGTTATAGGGGGACACAATGTCTTTATTTTGTTTTTATATGGTGCTGAGGATCGAATCCAGTGCCTCACACATGCTAGGCAAGCGCTCTACCTCTGAGCCACAACCCCAGCCCCTCATTTATGTTTTTTTTAGTTTTAGGTGGACACAATATCTTTATTTTATTTTATTTTTTACATGGTGCTGAAGATCAAACCCAGTGCCTCATGCATGCGAAGCAAGCACTCTAACATTGAGCCACAACCCCAGCCCCCCCGCCATTTATGTTTTATATACACCTTATACTCAGAGCCTGAAGGTAATTTTCTATAGTATTTTTAGTGTGCCTGGATGTTTTGACTATGACCTATCTCATGAGGTCAGATATAGGAATTTGTGGTGTCATGTCTTGTCAGCACTCAAAAAGTTCCAGATTTTGGAGCATTGTAGATTTTGGATTTTCTGATTAGGGCTGCTCAACCTGAATTAGCTCATAGGAAAAGGGAGATGATTCAGTTTTGGCAGCCCAGATTGACATCTCTAAGATGGATTAGTTGGGTATTGGAACTGGCAAGGCTTGTTTGAGGACTTTTGTGAAAAAAGATAATGAGATGCTAAGTAAGGGAAGTCATTGTCTCTGTAACATTTCTCTCCAAAATTTCTAAAGTCCTTAGGGAGGCAAAAGCAAATGACACAATTGGGTAAGTGCTTTATGAACAGTAGTATGCTATGTAAGATGTTAGTTGCTGGTTGAAGAAAAGCTTTTCATATGAAAAGCTTCCAAAGGGCTGGGGAATCTGTTGGTTTGGGATTTTGTTGTTTTGCCATGTGTTGATTTTTTTTTGATGAGTCCTAAGTATGGACAATAGCAAGTTAAGGTTTTTTTTTTTTTTTAAGAGAGAGAGAATTTTTTTTTAATATTTATTTTTTAGTTCTCGGCGGATACAACATCTTTGTTGGTATGTGGTACTGAGGATCGAACCTGGGCCGCATGCATGCCAGGCGAACGTGCTACCGCTTGAGCCACATCCCCAGCCCCAAGTTAAGGTTTAATTGCAGTTTTTAGGTTGCCTTAGCTATTAAGTACAACACAAGGAAGAACATCAGTGGAAGTATCCTGAACAGAAGAGAATTTAGTGGGAAAGTGAGAGGGAACAGAGAAACTTGGAAGACTTAATGAGACCAGTACTGGAAATATTATTAGAATTCCGTGTTTTTTTTAACTGTATTTTAATTTTAAAACTGTCCAAATGCATTTCAAATGAGAACATTTTGTCTTTTCAGCTCAACTATTTGCTTTGGGGGTATTTCCTGAAATTATTAACTTGTTAATCAACCTGTGCCATAAGAAATAGTAAAAAGGAAAATATGAATCAAAAGATGATTAGATTTACAAATGTAGAGGCTTAGAACATTGTAAATTCTCAAGTCTAAAGAGGGTTTTTAATGTAGCAAAAATACCATAATTATTTTAAAGAGACTTATTTTTGGGTTATATTATTTTAAATATGTTTTCTAGAAAATGAAAATTTTAATATTTTTAACTAAAAATCTTGTAGCAAGAAAACTCTAGGATAAATGTTAACAAGTTTAAACAATGAAATCTCAGGAATTAAAAATAACTTCAAAGTATACTGCAGCACTCTTATGGACTGAGAGTTGGGTGTGGAATGGGGACAGGAGAAATTGTTGCCAGTAATTACTTTGTAATAAATCACAAGTAAGTTTTGATAATTACTAGGTGATAAACTGGAAACCTTTATCAGCTGATTTCCTCTTGGCAGAAACAGAAACTGAGGCTGCAAAATAATTATAAACTGATTTATCCTTGTAGATAGTCCATTTTAATAGTTCTGTTCAAACAACTTATTTTTCACCTAGGTTTTTTTTTTTGTTTTTGTTTTTTGGTTTTTTTTTGGCACTGAGGATTGGACCCAGCGACAATATCCATTCCCAGTCCTTTTTATTTTATTTTGAGCAGGGTCTTGCTAATATTCCCCAGGCTGGCCTTGAACTTGCGATCCTCCTACTTCAGCCTTCTCAGTAGCTGGAATCACATATGCACCATCATGCCTGGCTTATAAACGTTTTTTTATTTGTTTTGTTTTATTTCTTTTTTTGGGCGGGGGGGGGGGTGGTACTGGAGATTGAACTCACGGGCACTCAACCACTGAGCCACATCCCCAACCCTATTTTGTATTTTATTTAAAGACAGGGACTGAGTTGCTCAGTGCCTTGCCATTGCTGAGGCTAGCTTTGAATGTGCAATCCTTCTGTCTCAGCCTCCTGAGCCACTAGGATTACAGGCCTGTGCCCCTGTGACTGGCTCAAAATGTTTTTAAAAGCTTTATTTTTTTTGGTATGGAACAGGCCTTTTTATCGTTAAACCCCTTTAAACAGAAAGAATTTGCAATTGTTTATTATTGGAAACTGTTACAGGCTGTTCTTGCTTTTACCAGTAAATGTCTCTTAGCTAGTTATCGGATACACAGTGGGAAGCTTGCAGCAAATTAGGAGGAAAGAAGGGAAATGGACTTTCTAATGAAAGTCCTCCTAACAAATCAAGAAACTACAGCAGTGACATCAACCTGCTGCAAATCACTTTTCCATGTTTCTGCCTTGCAGGGAATTTTCTCCAGCAGTGCTGCTCTGAGGAGCAGGGGACATAGAAAGTCAAATGGAAGCCTTTGCTCTGATGAGTTATAAATAGGCACTTAAAATCATTTTGTTAGAAAAGTTAATTTTTTTCTTTTTTTTTTTTTTTTGGTACTTGAAATTGAACCCATGGGCACTTAACCACTGAGCCAAATCCCCAGCCCCTTTTATATTTTATTTTGAGACAGGGTATCACCAGGTTGCTTGGGGCCTCCCCAAGTTGCTAAGGCTGGCTTTGAACTTGCAATCCTCTTACTTCAGCCTCCAGAACCGTTGGGATTACAGGCCTACACCACCACACCCAGCAGGAGTTAAAATTTTTAAGGAATATCTGTAAACCCCTCAGGACCCAGAGAGAATTTTGGATGCATGACTGATTTAAATAAAGAGATATGTGCACGTATGCACCTATGCCCCCAAACATCTGTTTGCTTTTTGCTATAAGTTATATTACAATGGTGCTACTATTATTTAAAACATAGTTCACGGCTTCCTTTGGATTTATCTTCACAGTCTTTAGCATACTCAGAAAGAATATATTCTTTATTATATTATACATAGAATAAGTATTATATAGATACTAAAATTGATGTTATTTACCCAGTAGTTGTAAATCTCATCTTTGGACAATGAACTTGATTTTGGGGAAGAGCCAGGAGGAATTTGAGCTATATACAGAGAGATAAGATAGGTATAAGCTGATTATTACTGTTTTGGGTCTAATATGAGATATAAATATAAAATAATGAGACAGTTCCTTAATTCATTAAGTGCCTCTAGATGAAGAATATAAGAATAGTTTTAAGCTAAGAGCAGCATTATTGGAAGAAAGCATAGTTTCCCATTATGAAACTTGGAAGACTAATGTTCATTTGAATACTCAACTTCTGGGATATGAAGTAAAACAACATCCATTGCCTCAGTGTCCTTGCACCTTCTCCATAGGGCGATTATAAAGATTAAATTGTAATGATTAAATGAGATAATGTTAGTAAACTCTAAGCCCCCATGTTTGGCATTTCGTAAGCCCTCAATAATTACTAGCTTTTTTCATAATCTTTACTTTTATAGTAGTACCTAGAGATCAGGAGAGCTTTTAACAAAAGTTACAAAGCTTCAGAAGGTATTAAAATGGTAAAATCGCTGGGGTTATATAACAAATGGTAGCATTTCTTTAAGGGTGCATTTAGGGCAAATACTATAATTGATGTTAATGATCATAACTTTGCTAACAACCAAAATATTTTCTAAGAGCTTGGTGAGATTTTTGTGATTAATTGCTTAGCAATTCAATTTTGAATTGAATTCAATTTTGAAATACTATTCTAAGCTTCTCATTACTGGTAGAAATATAAATTTTTTTTTTCTGAAGTCAGAGGTTTGTATGTTTGACATCAACTTTTAAAGTGTGGTAGTATTTTAAGATAGTATAATCTTGCTGGATATACAATGTTAGGGCCATTTAGAAATAGAAAAAATCTTATTGATTATTTTTTGCATATTAAGTATCTTTAATGCCTTGTAGTTTTGAAGTAAAATTTTTTTCATTTAGAATTATGAGGCTTTTATTATTAAAGTGACAAATATTTACTGATCTTAGATTTGAACTCAGAACTACTTATCTATGGCTGTTTTCTCCTACTTATTATTGTACATGTTTTATATCATATAATCTAATAACTAAATTATATGACAAGATGAATGTCTTTTTAGTTTTATAGCTCTTAATTTTTAGTAAGTTCTTTTTTTAGCAAAATAGTTTCAAATTTAGTTAAACATTTGCAAATTATTCTAGGGCTTCTTCTAGCTATTCCACAGAGAGACAGATGTCACATGATTTGGTTGCTGTTGGCAGGAAAAGTGGGAACTTTCATCCAGTGTTTGAACATCTTGACTCAACTCAGAATACTGAAAACAAACCTACAGGAGAATTTGCTCAGGAAATCATAACAATAATCCATCAAGTTAAAGGTTGGTATATTTTACGCATACATTAGGGATAACAGAAAAATAATGTGCTGGCTTTTCACGAGATAATAGGTAAATACCTGTGATATATTTCAATAGTAATATTTCATTGTAAGTTAGATTATGAAGTAGGAATCTGTTGGAGAGATCATCAGGCATACATTCAAGCCTAGTTGTTCTTTTTTTTAATATTTATTTTTTAGTTATAGGTGAACACCATGTCTTTATTTTACTTTATGTGGTGCTGAGGATCAAACTTAATGCCTCATGCATGCCAGGCGAGCGCTCTACCTCTGAGCCACAACTCCAGCCTCATAGTTGTTCTTTTTTAATATATTTATTTTTTTTAGTTGTTGATAAACCTTTATTTTATTTATTTATATGCAGTCCTGAGAGTCAAACCCAGTGCCTCACATACAGCAGGCAAGTGTGCTACCACTGCGCCCCAGCCCCAGCCTCAGCATAGTTGTTCTTTATGATGTATTTCCAATAACCTTGTGCTTCAACTGGTAGTAGATTAGAAATCACAAGTTAGAAGAGAGGTCAACCACTGAAAAAAGACTACAATACTGAAATCAGTGAGACGCAATAACCAATAGCCTAACAGGGAAGAAGAAGCAGGGGAAGAAAAAAAAAAGAAACTCAAGCAATCGGGAAGTCTTGATCATTTTGTGATATTCTTAAAATCCCCTGAGAGCAGTACTGGGACTTTGTGCCATCAGGATATTGCTAAGTGATAAATGAAAGATTCCAGTTTGCTTTGTCATACTTTATGACATCAGAGAGTTGCATAATAAATACTTTAAAGATTTGCATTAAATTGTTTTGTTTTTGCTTCTGGCAACTTTCCATTAATTGGAAAATTCAGTGATAGAACTGCTTCTACCAGTAATGCCACAAAAATAAGGCAATTGTGAGAGTTATAAGCTGGAGGCCTTTAAGAATTTTTATTTTATACTACTTAGTAATTGCATTAATCTTTTTCACCTTCATAAAACATATTTCAAAAATGAATTATTTTCTCTGCATCCCTCAAGCTAAGGCATATATTTTCTTGAAAGCATTCAGTTTTAGACTGGGAGTATAGCTCAGTGGTAGTATGCTTGCTTAGCATCAGTGAGGCCCTGGGTTTGATCCCCAGCACTTCAAAATAAATAAATAATAAAGTATGCAGTTTGTCTGAAACAGTTACCCTCTCAACCCTAGCTCTTCTCACCCAAAGCAAGTGTCATTATTTGCAGAAAGGGGGCTAGTATAACATAAAAGTCCAGGAGATTGTCTCAGAACAGGAACAGTAAGTTAGGGAAAAGGATTGCTTAAGTAGCATTCTGATGGAGCATGTGTATTTTCTTTCTCTCTAACCTATTAAAAGTCTGCAACATAGCTGGTTTCAGAATGTCCTCAAGAACTTCAGTTAATGTTAATTGAAACAAAATTGTATTGGAAGACCTTCTGTTGTATGCGAACATAGCATTTAGCATTGTCAGAATTTTTGTGATGTTTCAGGATTGTTTGTGGAGTTAATTTTTACTCTTATTGAATTGTAGAGCTCCCCAAATAGTGTCTTACCTTGGAGTAGAAAGGTCCTCACTTTGAGAGCACTACTGTTTTCCCCTAGATAAGTAAGCAGACATGTCAGATAGGAAGAAAACCCCTTGGATTCATAAATCAGATGTTTTAATTCTTGCTTGGGCTCGGGAACAACATGCAAACACTGCAAATTAGTCTGCCAAGTTTAGGTCCTGTGTACTTTTAAGTGGAATCAGTTTTACATTGAGATAAAACTATTTGTTTCCTTTTTCAGCAAATTATTTTCCATCACCTGTCATTACTCTAAATGAGCGTTTCTCAAAAATGCGAAGTACTCATGATGCAGATGCAAAAGAAATTAAATTGAATTCAGATCCAGAAATTCACAGGTAATGATTGATTACTATATTCCCATTTAACCATGGGAGTAAACCTCAGAACTGTTGCTTCCTGAGCTTGCTCACCTGGATTTGCGTGAGACTACTCTAGGAATGTGTATCTGACATAAAAACAGGATCTACCCAAGCAGGTACTGGGCCAGTGCACATCAATGGAATAGATTGCATTGAAACCAATGACTAGCATTGTTTAAATGTATAGAACTTTGATAATATTTACCTACCTAACTTTGATTCTGCTGTGTCTATAGTAGTTACCTACTGAAGTTATCACTGGAAGAATGAAAGGCATTTGTCAAGCCATTGAAATCATGTGATCAAAATGGCTGTTCTGAGGGCAGCCGGATGAAAACATGTCTTCTGCTGGCACTTGTCCGAGCAGGTGGTGCACCCTGTCTTGTGAGCTGAGTTGAATCAATATTAGAATGCAATATATCACCAGAATAAAGTTTGAAGTTACACAGGCTAGTGATCTGAGAACCCCTAAAACTTCCCTGAAATGTGCTTCACAAGATCTAAATTCTTGGGAAATTGCCATATACCATATAGATGAAAAAATTACCTGTTAGCAGGTTTCTTTTGCCTGTTCCAAGATATACCTGCTTTATTTCAAATTCCATTCTGTAGTAGTAGAATCAAGGTATCAGTGCATAATCTAATTATTTAATTGTAATATGCCTTTATTATTTTAGGAGAATAGACATGTCTTTGGCTGACCTTCAGAGTAAACAAACTATGGTATATGAACCAGATCAGGTAAGTGAACACAAGTTTTGATGTGAGATTATCTTTTTTTTTTTTTTTTTTTGGTATACTAATAGGAAAAGGGATTGGTGATTGGGGGTTGAGATCCAGGAAATTTCAAAAGTTCTCCAAGTGATTATGATCATTGGCCAGGTTGGCACAAATGTTGACAAAAAGACAAAAATATTCCTTAAAAGGGACAATCCTTAATGATAACAGCTTTGTAACAAAATTTTAGCATTTAATGTTTATTCCATAACTCCACACTGTGAAGCTTGTAGAAAGTATGTTCCAGTCATGTGGAAAGTATTTTTAAATTGTACATGAAATGAATGAAAAGAAACTAAGTTTCATTTGATATTGACCTTCTATTTACTGGAGAGTGTTTGAAAGATTCTGTGGAACATTAACTAGCAAAATAATGGAAATGTTACATTTCTTTACTGTCCCGCGTTTGGTTCCTACCCAATACCTCCCCCCCATCCACCTCCCATTTCTTTACTAATTAGAAAGACTATCTTGACTAGCCAAGGAGTAAGAAAAGTGGCTTTTGTTTTAAAATGTTTCAAGTTGAACTGAAAACAAATTCCATGCGTGTGTGATTTGTTAGGATGAACCTAACTACTATGTATAACTATAAAGCTCTTTTTTAAAAAAAAGTATGTTAAGTTGTAAAAGAACTGCTAATTTATTCATTGAAAGTAAAAAGTTTTTATAGAAAAGATATTTTTAATACATTTCTAATAGAATATATATAAAGTTTTTCACATGTGAAATTATAGATTTGATTAATCTTAGATGGGTTAATCTATTGAATGATATTTTCAGAAAATTTCCAATCATCAAAGTATTACAGTAAACTTGTAGGAAATTTAAGGATTTTTAAAAAAAAATCATCTGTAATTCAACCATTTGATACAGAATATTATCTGATCATCTTTTCGTGCAGTCTTACATCTTGCATTTTAACATAATCACTATCATAGTATATGCACTTTTGTATGTTTTTTTCTTTTTACTTAATTCATAATAACATGCCTTTTATGTAAAAATCTCTGAATTCCCCATGACCTTTTATGATTGAGACTTTTAAAGTTTCAATTTTTTTCAATGAGTGTTTTTCCATGTTGACTTCCACATAGTATTTATTAATTTAAATGGTTGTACATTATTCTTTTGAGTTATTTACCATAATTTGTTTAATTGTTCTTCCCTTTCCCTTTAAAGTTTTTTTTACATTTAAGTTACTTCCATTTTTTGTTATTTTTAAATATAGTACTTGGAATATTTTTAGGTAGACAGCACTTTCTTTGGGATAGAATCCTCTAAGTGGGATTCCTGGTTTAATATTAGGAGCTTTTCTGACTGTATTGTCAATTGTGTCTCAGAAAATTTGATTCAGTTTACACTACCATAGCAGGATGAGTACAAAATAACTTATTTAGGACTTTTAAATAAGGTTCTTGTTAGATATGGTCTTTGTGCAACTAACAGTAATGTGAATGGTTTGTCTTCTGTCAAAATTCCTCAGACTCTGGTCAAAATAATAGATCCAAATGACCTACGACATGACATTGAAAGAAGGAGAAAAGAACGATTACAGAATGAAGATGAGCACATTTTTCACATAGCTAGTGCTTCAGAGAGGTAATCAGTAGATGAAAAACATACTGTTATCAGGGAGCTTTCGGTTTAAGCATTTTTCCAGTTTTTTTGTGTGATGATAATTTTAGTGTAGGAATTTGATCCTTCAAATCCATTTTCTATGGTTAAATGAAATCTATTAAAATGTTTCAAAATTATTCAGTAATCATTCTATGCATCTTGATTTAAATAAGAAAAATTATGGGGTAGGTGGATATTTGAGGACTTCATAATTCTAGAGATAAGTATAAGAGATTTTTTAATATTAGCAGAAGCCAAGACCAGCAAGGTTATGGACTGTTTGGCTCAAGCTGATTAAAACTGATACATTCTGCCCTAGATTCTGGAGTAGTCTGAATAATGCAAAATTTCCTGAAGTTAGTACAGTTCTCTTCCAAGGACTCTTCGTGGATGTTTATCCATGAAATGGGCAGGTGTAGTAGAAAATGTAGAGACCTACATTTGAATTTCATCTCTTTCCAATTTATAAGATGTTTGATCTTGCACAGATTTGATGAGTCATTATAGCCTTTCTATAAAATGATGATTACAGTGGCACACACCTGTAATCCCAGCAGCTTGGGAAGCTGAGGCAGGAGAATTACAAGTTCAAAGCCAGCCTCAGCAAAAGTGAGGTGCTAAGCAACTGGGTTGAGACCCTGTCTCTAAATAAAATACAAAATAGGGCTGGGGATATGGCTCAGTGGTTGAGTGCCCCTGAGTTCAATTCCCAGAACCAAAAAAAAAAAAAAATTATGATAAAACCAACTTATTATGCTATGCATATTAAATGACTGGCATATTTAAAGAACTGATGCCATGCATGGCAACGGCTCATCAGTAGATCTCCCAGAAAGTAGGGATAGTGCTAATAGTTTTTTATATAGTCCATAGTATCAAATTACTGAAATATTTGACTAGACTTTTAAGTCAAGTCTATGCCTAACTAAGTCTTAGTTGAAATAGATGGAGCTTGTTTAAAACTGGATTTGATTCTAACAATAAGTTTGGAACTAATTAAAAGATAATCAAACTGTGTGTTGTGGTATATGAAAAACATGAAAGTAAAATAGTAAAAAATCTTTTCCTTTGCTGGGTGAAAATCACCAGTCTCTTAATATGATATGATTAATGCATTGCATGACTGGGCCCCTTAATGTCACAAACTGTCACATTTTTCTTGAGACAGCAAACTTAAGAAACCCAGTGTACCAAGAAATAGGATTTTTCAAGCAGATTTAAGATAATCAGCATATTGTACAGACTGTGTAGTGCTTCGGGATATATCTTTACCCTTTGAAATGATTAGAACTTGAGTACTGAAGTTAGACCTGAGTTCATATTCCTGCTCTTAGACCCCTAGCTATGTAATTGACTTTTGGCAAGTTACATAGTCTCTGTTTCCTCAAGTGTAAAATAGGGATAAGATTTATACTTACCTTGTAGTAGTAGTTAAAATTAAATAAAGTGATGTGTATAAAGTTAACATAAAATTTATCAGTGTCAGCTTTGAAAATAGTGTTGAGGCATGCAAAGATGTCTTCCTACAAGGTATCTTTTGCTGGGTATGTTGGATTATTTTATGTTTTTTTTGTTTGTTTTGTTTTGGTGCTGGGGATCAAACCCGGGGCCTTGTACATGCAAGGCAAGCACTCTAACTGAGCTATATCCCCAGCCCCAGGATTATTTAATTCCTACTGGATAGTTGGTGTGGAATATAGAGCCATGAGGGTTTTTAAAAATCGAGATATTACGTACCATAAAATTCCCCATTAGAAGTAAACAATTCAGTAGTTTTTAGTATATTCACAGGGTTCTATAACTATCACCATTATTTAATTCCAAAACATTTTATCAGCTCAGAAGGAAACACTGTACCCCATTTCTCCTTCCCCCAACCGCTGGCAACCACTCTTCCACTTTCTAGCTCTACGGATTTGCTTATTCTTAACATTTCATATAAATGCATCATATTGTGTATGGCTTTTGTGACTGATTCTTTTGTGTAGCATAATGTTTTCAGTGTTGATCCAATGTTGTAGCATGAGGATGCTTTTTATGGCTGAATAATATTCCATTGTATTGATGTGCCATATGTTGTTTATCCATTCATCAGTTGATGGATATTTGGATTGTTTCCACTTTGGGGCTGTTGTGAATAATGGTGCTATGAACATTTTTGTGTAATTTGTTTTCATTTCTCTTTGGTTGATACCTACAAGTAGAATTGATTAATTAGGTGGTGACTCTATATTTAACTTTTTGAGGAACTTCCAGATAGTTTTCCAAATTGACTGTATCATTTTACATTCCACAGCAATTTCTCCACATCATTGCCAGTATGGATAAGATTGTTACTGTCTTTTTTTCAAAAATGATATAGAACCTCTTATATATAGAACCGTTTATCTCTTTGTCCTAATTCAATTTCCTTATTAAAATAAAAGACACTTCATCTTTATATCTTAGAAATTCAGTTTATAAAAATTGATCTCATTGTGTTTTTACATAATTCTTTTTAATCAAGTCAGTATATAGTTTCCATAGACATTCAGAAGAATGAAACATAATAAAATCATAAATCATAGGAGGAAGTGATTTCCCACCTGTGTGATTTTTCCTTAAAAAGTTGTATGCAGGTTCACTGGGCATTGTGGCACATGTTTGTAATTCCAGAAACTTGGGAGGCTGAGGCAGGAGGATCATAAGTTTGAGACCAGCCTGGGAACTTAGTGAGACCCTGTCTCAAAAATTAAAAAAAAAAAAATTAAAGGGCTGGAACTGTAGCTCAGAGGTAGAGTGCTCCTGGGTTCAATCCTCTGTACCACAAAAAACATTGTATGCAGGCTCTGTGTCTATTTGCTCACCATTGTATCCCCATTGCCTTGAGCTAAGTTCATATTTGTTTAATGAATGAAGACTTTCCAAAGCAGCAGACAGGGCTGCTTAAATTAGAATGCCTATCTACCTGGATTCCTGTTCTCTGATACCTTAGGAATCTTCACCAGCAAACCTGATTCTCAGGGATTTCATCTAATTTCCAAAACCCTGATATTCTCCAATGTTCTCCCTTCTGGTCAGTCTCTACCCTGAAGTCTCCATAGCTTCTGATACACTATTTCTCCCTCTTCTTATCAGAGTTACTAAGTTCCTCACAATGTAATTAAGATGTGTTATATAAGTTTGGGCTATGTGTGCTTAAAAATAATGTCAGTGTACTTCAAAAGGACATCAAACTGTCAAGACTTCCTTTTTAGCTAGTCAGCTTATAGGAAAACATCAGTTTTTATTCTTGCTATTGTAATAATCTATACTAAACTAGAGTGAACTTTGTGCGAATCTTTTATTCATATGTTCAACAAATATTTCCTCTGTTCTACAGTTACTATTTAAGCACTAGGGATACAGTGATAAAAGTATACACAAAGCCCTTGCCTTTGTGGCATTTGGAATTTAATGGTGGAAGAAAGAAAATAAGCAAATAAATAACATGTTAGTGAAGTAATAGATGAAAAATAAGGCAGAAGAGGAAAATAGAAAAGAATGATGTGTGATATGATTTTAAAAATTTAGCTGGGGTAGTATTTGGCGGGGGTAGTATTTCAAGAGAGGAAACAGTAAATTCAAAGACCTTGAGGCAGGAATATGGTTGCTGTTGCTTAAGAACTAGAAAGGGAGCTGGTGAGTTATAAAATGAGAAAAGGAAGAGAAAGTCAAAGCGTGAAGGACTTTGAAGGACTGAAAAAGATGGAAGACTCTTTTTTACTCTTAGTAAAATTAGAAAACATTTAAGGTTTTAACCAGAGAAGAGATATAATTGCACTTAAATTTTAAAAGGATCACTGTTGTTTTTAGGTAGAGAATGGATTATACAAACTAGAGAAAAAAAGTTTCAAGTAAAAAAAATAAAAGATTGGAGGTAGGAAATCTGCATGACAAGGTGGCATAATAGATGGGACTCATCAAAGAACCAGGCTCCTTAGACCTTGCTCCTCCTCTAACCTTTGCACACATGTGCCTCGTGTCCCAAGGTGGTTGGTTGTGCTCTAGCCATCATGTCCTCATCCTAGTCTTTCCCTGAAATTTACACATGACACTTTTAACACTGTTGGCCTAAAAATTTAGTCCCATGTCCATGTCTAGTTGTAGGGAAGATGAGAAATAGATCTTTAATCTGGGTGTTCATTTGCCTGCTTAAGAATCAAAATTTATCAATGAATCGTTTTTCAGTTTTTTTATTGTGGCAAAATATAAATCTACCATTTTAATTGTTTTAAGTGTACAGTTAATTGGCATTAAGTATAACCATAGTGTTATGGAACCATCACTGTTATCCATTTATAGAACATTTTCATCTTTAGAAACAAACTCTGTACCATTAAACAGTAACTCCCCATTCCTTCCTCCCCTCCAGTCCTTGATAACTTTCTTTCTTACTATCTCTATAAATTTGCCTATTCTAGATAACTTCATACAAGTAGAATCATACAAATTGTCTTTTTTTTGTCTGGCTTCTTAGTATCATGTATTCAAGGTTCATCCGTATTGTATCATGTCAAAATTTCCTTCCCTTTTCAGAAAATTCCATTGCTTTTTAAAGCTGAATAATATTCTGTTTGGATATACCACTTTTTGTTTATCTGTTCTTCTGTTTATGGACATTTGTGTTTCCACCTTTTGACTATTTTAAGTAGCGCTGTTAACCAGTATTGGTGTTGTCTTTTTTTTTTATAGCCATCCTACTGGGTATAAAGTAGTATTTTATTGTGTTTTGATTATAGCCATCCTAGTGGGTATAAAGTAGTATTTCATTATGGTTTTAATTTGCATTTCCTCCATGACTAATGATGTTGAGCATCTTTTCATATATTTATTGGCCATTTGTATGTCTTACCTGAAGGAATTTCTGTTCAAATTCCTTGCCCATTTTTAAATCAGGTTATTGTCTTTTATTATTGAGGTATACGAGTTCTTTATCTATGCTAGATACTGCAGGTTGAGTGTCCCTTATCTGAAATGCTTACGCCAGAAGTGGTTCAGCTTTAGGATTTTTTTTTTATTTTGGAATATCGTCATAATGAAATATCTTGGTGATGGGACCCAGTCTAAACATGAAATATATTTATGTTTCCTATATGCCTTACACATATAGCCTTAAGTTAATCTATACAGTGTCTTTAATCACATGAGGTCAGATGTGGGGTTTTCCATTTGTGGTATCATGTTGGTGTTCAAAAAGTTTCAAATTTTGGAGCATTTCTGATTTGGGATTTTCAGATTAGGGATGCTCAACCTGTACTCCTTCTTCCAATATGTGCCTTGCAAAGAGTTTTTTAAAGCCCATTTCCTTATAGACATAGTCATATATGCTAATGATAATCATTTAGGAAAAAAATATAATTAAGTATAGAAATATAAGGCAGTTTTAATTTCACCAGTTAGAGATGACCACTGTTAATATTTAGCACATTTCCTATCATTTTTTTTCTCAGCATATATATATGTATTTAAAATAACCGAAATTATACTCAGTATATAATTTAGCACCCTACTCTTTTGACTTACTCTCTTATCATGAGTATTTTAACAGGACATGGGGGTTTTTTGTTTGTTTGTTTGTTTTGGGTTTTTTTGTTGTTGTTTTTGTTTTTTTACATTTTAAAAGACTCTGAGTGTCTTCTTCTTGTCAGGTTTGGGGGTCAGAGCTGGGGCCACAAAATGAACCATCCACTTAACTACCTTCTCTGAAGGAATTGCAGCTTGTTCCATTAAACACACAGGTGCACCAGTAGTTACAAACATGAAGAGATAGGTGTTATCACCCCAAATACATTTTGTGCATGTGGCATTTTGTGGTACTTAGTTTACCAGAGAGGGGTTTAGGAAAGCCTTCCTTGGAAGAGGTACAAATGGAGCTAAATTTCATCTAAGTGGAAGGAAATGATCACAGAAGGAACTACAGGTGCAGAGGTGTGGAAACAGGAGAGATTGGAGTGTTCTGGGAACCACATAAAGTTAAATGTCCTGGAAGCTCAGTGTGTGTGTGTTGGGGAGACTAGAGTAAGGCAGATGGCAATGCAGCAAGGGCCAGAGCCTGGAGGACCTTGTAAGTCCTGATGAGGAGTATGGATTTCATCCTGATGTCAGTGGGGAATGTATGGAGGTACTGAAGTAGGGCTGAGGTTCTGGTTTACCATGGAGCAAGGCCTGCAGAAGATGTAGGAAGAGGATTCCCTAAGGGCTGTGGAAGTGAGGCATCCAGGATCAGAGGAAAAGCCCAAAGAAGGACCTCCCTCCATGATAGGGCTCCCTGGAAAAAGCACTTGGTGGCCTCAGGACCTCTCAATATCAAGAGAAGGAAGGCTTCCTTTTAATGCCCTGGCCTAGCAATATCCATGGCCCAGCAGTATCAGAGTGAGGTGACCCTGGGCCAGTCTCATACCTCACCTCTGATGAATAGGCCAAGTCATTAGTGCTTTTACAAAGGGGAGTCTGTCAGTAAGGACAGGGTGGGGGGCAGTGCCGCCAAATTCTAGAGCAGCGACAGTCTTTCCTCTGAAAACACACATTTCACATGAGTTATAGCCTCCAGGAAGCCTATCCTTGAACCTCAGATTGGGAACACTAATACAAGGAATATTGTTTCCCCCTCCTATTGATTACTGCCAACTTAACTAAATAATTTTTTTTAAATGAGGGTGTTAGCCCTAAAAACTAATGTTTGTAACTTTAGTAGTGAAAGATCATTGAGTTTTACTGTTGTGTTACTTTAATTGTCTCTAAAGGGACTTTTTAATTTTTTTGTTTATTTGTTGGATAAAAGTAAACTAATAAAAGATTCTTGTTTTCTCTCTTTCATTTTATTAGGAATGATCAACGTTCCAGTTTTTCAAAGGTGAAGAATATTCATGCTGATGGATTCCAAAAACCTACACATTTTGTAAAATCAAATTTTAGAAAATTTATTCAGAAACCTTACATAGTAAGATTGGAGTTCTGGAATTTTCATTTTTTGTACATTCTCCTCAACTATATATTTTCAAAATGCCTACAACTGTGCATTAAGTATGTGTTAGAAGATTCATTTGAGGTTTACAGTTATTGTGACAAAAGAAATATTAATCTCTGGATTTATTATAATACTAAAGAATTTTGGGGGAACAATTTCATTAAAATATAATTTATATACTGTAAAATTCATTCATTTTAGGTGTAAAAGTTAGTGATTTTTTTTTAGTAAATTTGTGATGATGTATCACTATCACAACAATCTAGTTTTAGGATATTTTCACTACCCAATAAGAGCCTACATGCCTGTTAGTTACCCCCTGTTTTCACCCCAGCCAACCACTAATCTACTTTCTGTTTTAAAGATTTGCCTTTTTATAGGGCAGCTTACAGAATGTCAGCTGACTACCTTCCATAAGAAATGACTGGAAAGATGGAAGCCAGAATCTGAGTCTGTAACCTAATTTCAGAAGTAACATCCCATTACTGTATCATATTGTAATTGCAAGAAGCAAGTTACTAGGTCCTATCCACACTCAAAGGGAGGATCATTAGTGGGGATCATCAGGAGTCATGTCAGCAGCTGCCTGCAATCCTCCCTCTGATCAAATTCCACAGAAAATGGAGCATATAGAAGGTTGTAAGATTGTTGATTTTAGAAATAAGAAACTGTCTTGAGAATGGGCTCTACCTTTTTTTTTTTCTTTTTTTTATTCCTATCAGAGGATTCAAGTTCTTTGTGTTTACAGATTTACTAATGTAGTTGTTTCTCTTATTTCTGGTACTTTCCAAGCCATGGCAGGAACATCACCTCAAATCAGTTATCTGAGTCAGCCAAACCTGCCTCCTGCAGTATTGGGGATTTGTGTTCTTAACGAGTAGGAATCCTTTAGCAACTCCTGATAGTAATAAGTTTATCTCCCTATCCTGGAGGCCTGTATAAATAAATGCTAGATTCATAGTCCATTTTTTAAAAGTCACCCGTTGCATTAAATAAGAGTAGGGATTTTTCTGGTTTTTTTTTTAATATTGATTTTTTAGTTGTAGTTGGACATAATACCTTTATTTATTTTTGCATGGTGCTGAGTTTCAAATCCAGGGCCTCTCACATGCTAGGCAAGTGCACTACCACTGAGCCACAACCTCAGCCCTTCTGTTTGTTTTTTGACACTCATCACAGGCATGGATGCAACTGGCCCCTCACCAACTATTGTGGGTCATATCAAAGAAGGAGAAATGTGTTCCCACAGCTAGGCTCCATGGTCCCAACTTTGGTTGCTTTTGTTTTGTGGTACTGGTGTTTGAACTCGGGGGTGCTCTACCACTGAGCAACATTCCTAGTCCTTTTTATTTTTTGAGACAGGGTCCCCTTAAGTTGCCAAGTCTAGCTTTGGACTTGCAATCCTCCTTCCTCAGCCTCCCAAATTGCTGGGATTACAGGTGGGAGCCACCACCCCTGGCTGCCTTGAGTTCTTAATCCTGTATATTTAAACATGTATCTTTTACATGGTGAAACTAGTTTTTAAAATCAGTCTTTAAGCATATTAACCCATACTAATACTTTTTCATGCAGAATTATGCTATGCGGAGAAAGGATATTGTTACTCAAAAACCATTTGGAGTTGAGGGAAACCATCAAAATACAAGAGGCTTTAAAAGACCTTTCAAGGTATTGAGTGTTGTTTTCTATTTAATTCTAGCTTTGGGCTTATGCTTTGAACATAATATTCTAAGTATAATTAAAAGCTATTTTGAGGTATTGTTTCAAATAGTAGCTATAAACTAGTGTTTCTGGTTTATATGCTCATTTCTAGTATTTACAGTTGACTACAATTAGTTTATTAATCACCCCTTCCTCAGGACTTGATTTTAATTTTTATTTAACCAGTGAAACCCTTTCTTCAAATATTACTTGAAAATACACATGCACAAGACAGATATAGGTGGAGTGACACAAGATGGGGAGACAGGCAAAGTCCCAGACTCTCCTATTAAGCCTATCCTTAAATCTCTAAGGTGTTAAGTACAGAGCTCTCATGCTTCTCCAGGAATCACCAATGGAAAAACCCTGCCCATAGATAGGCACACAACCATCAGAGAGGACTTCTGGTTCATCAGAGAAAGATTCTGGTCCAGACAACTTTGTTAAAGTATATTTTATCACATTTTAATTATTTCTATAGCTAATATAAATGATAATTTTTAATTAGCCAACATGTTTGATTACCTAAAACACCTCATCCCCCAAACAAATGGAATAAAAGCAATAGTCCAGGTGTTGTATTTCTCTCCTTGCTCTCAAAAGCTGTGCTTTTAAAATCCATTTTGTCTAAATTTCTTGTTTATGACAGGTACTTTGTTCATATTTTTCATTCTGTGTTGTCTTCTCCCCCACACACAAAAAAAAAGGAAGAAGGAAAGAATTAAAGCTTTTTTTTTTTTTTTTTTTTGGTGTGTGTGTGTGTGTGTGTGTGTGTGAAAGTCCCAAGCAGGCTTGATAAAGTGCTTAGCTGATTAGGGGCAAATTAGTATCGAGCAAAAAGGTGTAGTACCAACTATCCCAAAACCATAGACTTAGGAGGGTAGTTGAGTGATCTTCTGTAAATACTTGGCTTCTTGACAAAGTTTCTAGATGTTAAAAGCATTTTTTTCTACTAGGAATAGCATAATTTGTAGGCATTACATAGACTATATTTTTATCCAGTGCTTTATATAAAACATGAATGACGTTGGGTTTTCAATAATAGCTACAGCCATAGAGGTATAAACATGTTTTATACCATCTGTTAATCTCTTGAGTAATGAGGCATCAGATCAACTGAAATTGTGATGTCTGCATCACCTAGAGGCAGTGTAGATGGATTTGCAGATCTCAGTGCTTCTACATATTGCTCTTCTCATTACTCAGATCTAGTTGATTGTTGTATTTTTGTAAGATCATCACAAGACTTATTTCCTCTTACCCTTTTATTTAAGGGAAGATTCTTTAGCATTGTTAGATATTTTTTAAAATTTATGCAATAATCTTTTCTCTTGACCAATCATTTAAAGTTTTGTAATGTTATGATTACTTAGAAGTTCATAATTTTTTCACAGTAATATAGTGTATAGTGTGAGCAGATAATCCTTCCTAAACAAATATTAGCCAGGCTAAGTGGCTCATGCCCATAATCCCAGCTACGCAGGAGGCTGAAGCAGGAGGACCACAAGTTTGAGGTCAGTCTGGGTAATTTAGCAAGGCCCTGACTCAGAATTAAAAAGGTCTGAGGATATAGCTCAATTGTATGGCACATCTGGGTTCAATCTCCAGTGCCACAAAAAAGAAAAAAAAATTGTTAAAATTTGCTTTCTGGGGCTGGGGATGTGGCTCAAGCGGTAGCACACTCGCCTGGCATGCGTGCGGCCCGGGTTCAATCCTCAGCACCACATACAAAAACAAAGATGTTGTGTCTGCTGAAAACTAAAAAATAAATATTAAAATTCTCTCTCTCTCTTAAAAATAATTAATTAATTAAAAAAAATTGGGACTGGGGATGTGGCTCAAGCAGTAGCGCGCTTGCCTGGCATGCGTGCGGTCCGGGTTCGATCCTCAGCACCACATACAAACAAAGATGTTGTGTCCGCCGAAAACTAAAAAATAAATATTAAAATTCTTTCTCACTCTCTCTTTTAAAAAAAATTTACTTTCTACATGAATTAGACTAATTCAAAGGTATAGTAAGCAAAAATGGACCATGTAAATCTCAGGATTAGCTCTGATATATCAAGTTTGTGCATATAGTCAATGAAATTATAGTGTCTTATTATGATTCTCTTTCATCTGAAATTTCCTCTAACCTTAATAATTGGAAAATGAGCATATAATAAATAATTTTTGTGCTTCATCATGTATGATATCCCCATTTCTAAAAGAGTAAAATGAGGAATCTACTTAATTATTTTAATTACTCTGCTATAATACAACATCTATACATTTGTTTTACCAATAATTCCCATTATCTTTTACCTTTTGCTAAGTACTCTGAGGATAGAACTTAAATAAACTAAAATCCAAATTTTAAAAAGATTAAAATCCATTCCTAGTGACCAAGTCTTTGAAAATTATTATAGAACCTAAACATTCTACTTATTCTGTATACATGCCTAAATATTATTCAGGCCATAATTGTAAAGCTGTAATTCAGTATAACACATCATATGGCTTTCGCTAAAGAACAAGCTTGATCTTTTTAATGTTGAAAGTCTTATAACCAATGCTCCCCTTTCATAGCCTCACAAGTATCTGTCTCCCCTTTAGTTACTTTTTATTTTTTTTTTATATTTTGATACTGGAGTAGAGTGCTTGCCTTGCACATGTGAGGCCCTGGATTCAATCGCCAGTACCACCAAAAGATATATACATATGTGATCTTTTTTTTTTTTTTAAGCACAACAGCTCCAGCAATGGCAACTCACATGACTAAGCCCCAATATATTTTTTTTTCCTGTCATTGCCTTAGTTGCTGCTTAATTTTATTGTCAGAGGATAGCGTTTAAAGAGTCTTTTCATTTAATGCAGTGATTATAGTATAGTGAACAATAGTATTGATTTCTTTAATGGCTCATGGTATGTTTAATCTTATATTTATTTAAGAGTTACTATTGGTTAGTGCTTCATGTTGAAGGAATCATCTCTTTGCTATCTATTTAGGAATATGCAGGCTTATTCAGACCTTAACTTTCTTTTTTTTTTTTTAAAGGCATGTACAGGTTTATTTAGGAAGATAGATAAGGGAGAATTGTAGGCTGTCTAGACAGTGCGAAGCAGCCCTGACTTGGGCTGGGGGTCCATATTTATAGAAGGGCTATATCAGGGGCTGGACGGGAGGTGGATTCAGGATGGAGCTGCACAATTTTCTTGCCAGCTTTCCTGCACTTGTGGGTTTCCCTCATTTTTCAAGGGTGTGGGCCAAGGTTTGCAACTGTGTTTTCTGCATCTCAGTTGCTTGATTTCTTCATTTCAGTGGCTTAAGGGTGTTTGCCTTAAGATGCTGTTTCTCCTTATCCTAAATCCCTATCTCATTTTTACCCCCCAAAATTTTGATCCCTTAATCTTCCCAGCCTGAAGAAGCCATAGAAGATTGATCTTCACCCCTCACAGAGCTTAATTTTCTGCAAAGCAAATGTGCCCCTATTTGTTTTTTATAATTTTAGCTTGTTTTAAGCCTTAGTGGATTACCAATAGTAAACTCTTCCTCCAGGCATTACAAAAGAGGCTACTATTGACTGGGACCCTGGTCATGTTAATAGTTGAAATGTGACTCAGGGTGTTTTAAATTAAGAAAAAAAAGAAAGAATTTGATTTAAAGACAAAACTCTTTCTATTCAACTTTGTCATCAAATGTTTACATATAACTAGATTGTGTTTCCCTTTTATGTTTTTGTTTTGTTTTGAAATGGGGCCTTGCTGTGTTGAATCTCCAGCTCCTGGGCTCTAGTGATCCTCTTGCCCTAGCCTTTTGAATGGCTGGGATTTTCTTTTTTTTTTTTTAACCAGGGATTGAACCAGGGGCACTTAACCACTGAGCCACATCCCCACCCCCACCACCCCGTGCCTTTTTAATTTTTTTTTTGTTGTTGTTGTTGTAGATGGACATAATAATTTTATTTTCTTTCTTTATTTTTTATGTGGTGCTCAGGATCATATCCAGTGCCTTACACATGCCAGACAGGTGCGCTACTACTGAGCCACAACCCCAGCACCCCCCAGCCCCTTTTTATATTTTATTTTAGAGACAGGGTCTCACTGAGTTACCTAGAGCCTCACTAAGTGGCTGAGGCTGGCTTTCAACTTGCAATCCTCCTGCCTCAGCCTCCCAAGCCGCTGGGATCACAGGCATGCTCCACTGTGCCCAGCTGGGATTTCCTTTTTCCTGTGAACATTTGCTTGAGAAAATGAAAGCAAATTAGCAGAAAATAATACTAATAAATACTGATAAACACTAATCTTCTGAGTAGAGTTCTGATTTTACTTTAAAAATTGGGGAAATGAATTTGTATACAGTGCTGCTATTTTGAAGTTGAGAGTCTGCAACTTTTATTCTGACCTTTGTCTCTGCCCAATAAGTGAACACTGGTTGAATCCTTAACTCTTGAGTGGTAAGGAGAGATGGAAGAATATAACTTTCTGTTTGTGCCAGTAGAGCTGAATGCTGTTTTATGTTCTTCAAGTTTGGATAGCCCTTGTCTTATATATCCATAGACTCCTGTTGGCAAAATCAGTAAGACTAGCTGCCTGTCAAATACTCCACTAAATTGTCAATGCCTACAGAAAAAAGGGTGTGGTCTGTTTAGTCTTTCCATTGCATGAAGTATTAGGTATGGGTTTTGTTAAGTAAATTCAGAACAATGTTATAGTTAACTTTGCCTGAGAGAGCATGTTGGCTCACCAAAGTCTTAACTTTCTACAATATTTTCTCCTGACTCCCTGGAATTAGGCCTCCAAATATTCAGTTTGTGCTAAACTTGTTCTGTTACATTTTAAAGTGTGCCTAGAGTTTTGCTTCATATGGCTTCACATTTATTCTTTAATTTAAACATTTTTTCCAGTGCTGGGGATCAAACTCAGGGCTTCATGCACAACAGGTAAGCACTCTACCACTGAGTTCCAACCCTGGGCCTACACATATATTTTTTTTCAGGAGAATTGTAGTTGGATAATTTGAGGGAGAAATCCTTTTTATAGTCAAGAGCTTACTTAATGCAGCCTCTTCCAGTGAGTTAGCAAGTAGTCAAGATTTTAAGACTTAGGCAGAGATAAACAGTGGGGCCACTTCTCCTTTCTGTTTTAGATTATTCTAGGAGGATGCTGGAAATGCAGGTGGCCACAAAGAGTACATGGTAGGGGGAGTAAGGAAAGGAGATTTAGAGAATTGTTTTGAAAGGTTTGGAGAGGACAGGTTGGTGAGTAACCAAACTCCCCTAGCTCTAATTTATGATACTAATTCCTCTTTTACCATTTAGGAACATACAAACATTCATTGTCCTCTTATGTCTATTATAATACCAGACAGTATGCAAAGCTAGGAATCACTCTTTACAACCCATATTTGATATAATGAGGTTTTTTTGTGTGATAAAGAAAGATGGGTTTGAAGGAATAAAGTTAAAAGTTTTTGATTCTTATATATTGATTCTTAATGTCTTTACCCCCCTCACTGGTATTTGATATAGTCACTGTGAATCAGAATAATTTTAGCTCTTTGAAGGTTTTGGAAAATTGTATTTTTTTTTTTTTTGCATGATGAAGTTCAAGAATTCATTTCAAATTTCTTATTCTTTTTTTTTTTTTTGGTGTGTGTGTGTATGGCACTGGGCATTGAACCCGGGGTGCTCTACCACAAAACTGCATCTCTAGCCCTTCTCATTTTTTAAATTTTGAAACAGGGGTCTCACAGAGTTGCCAAGGCTGTCTTGGACCTTGTGATCCTCCTGCCTCAGCCTCCTGAATCTCTAGGATTACAGGCATGCACCACCATGCCCAGTCATTTCAAAATCTTTTATGTAACAGTTTTAAAAATTGTTTTTATGTAAAACAAAGAATTTTTTCAAGAAAATATTGTATAAAATAAACTAGTAAGCTAGTTTGAGGGAAATGTACTTGACTATCATAAACCCCTTCCTTCTACTATCTATAATGCCTAGAATCAAGGGCAGCTCTAAATACCAGACATTTAACTACCTGTAGACTTGGGAACTATAGTTTTAATGCTTAATTATTTTTTCCCTTTGCAGAGCAACTTTAGAGGTGGTAGACTCCATCCCCCATATAAATCAGACCTGGTACAGAAGAGCTTATACATTCAGGCTAAATATCAGCGTTTGCGGTTTGCTGGTCCAAGGGGATTTATCACTAATAAATTCAGAGACAGATTACTGAGGAAAAAAAAGGTTAGTTGGATGATGATCATTTAAAAATGTTGAGTGACTTTTGAACTCCTGAATCATCTATGTTCATTAGAAAAATGAGATTTTTTCATTTAGTTTTGATTAAAGAATCAACCTAGATTTCTAAGATGTGATTACATGATAGTTGAATAAAAACCTCAAGGAGTAATGCTAATAGAGTTGTGAGACTGTTTAACCTTAAAGTGCTTTTAGCTATTATACTTGAAATATTTTGAACATGCCAACTGTTTGAACTTTTCACTTTAGGATTTCTGTTGTATAGTTAATCTTTGAAATGGTAATTTCAGTAAAGGCTTTTAATTGATATATTTTAATCTTGTATAATGTAAGTGATATGAATGCCAAAAAATATTGAGCAGACTGTATACAAAGGTATATAATTTCAAAATGTACTAATTCGTATTTTTACCCCCACTTATATATTTTTTTAAATTGTGGTAAAATATGTATATTGTAAAAGTTTCCATTTTAATGATTTTTAATATGCAATTCAGTGGCATTAATTACATTCACAGTGCTATACAACCATTACCACTACATGCTCTTTTTCAAAATGTGTTTTTAATTGACAAGTACAAATTATATGTATTTGTGGTGTACAACACAATGTTTGTGTGTGTGTGTGTGTGTGTGTATATATATATATATATATCATATATACATACATGATTAACTTCCACACACACATATCCACACACATTGTGGCATGTCAAATTATAGGTATATGATATATTGTTATTATCTGTAGTCATGTGCAATAGATCTATCTCTCCCCCTCCACACACTCTGCTATTTGGAGGCAGTGTCTTGCTAAGTTGTTGGGGTTAGTCTCAAACTTTTGATCTTTCTGCCTCATCCTTCTGTGTGGCTGGAATTATAGGCTTGCACCACTGCGCCTGGCTACAATAGATCTCTTAAACTTACTCCTTCTAACTAAAATTTTGTGTGCTTTGACCAATATTTCCCTAACCTCCCACCACTCTCCCCCCAGCCCCTGGTAACTACCATTCTACTCTCTACTTCTAGGAGTTGAACTTTTTTATATTTCATATAAAGATTAACTCATATATTTGCTTTTCTGTGCCTGGCTTATTTCACATAACATAATGTCCTTCAGGTTCATCCACATTTTAAGTATAATATATTTTATTTATCCATTCATCATTGATGGAAATTAAGGTTGATCCCATCATGCTAACTTTTTTAATGTAGTGCTGAGAATCAAACCCAGTGCCTCATGCATGAGGGGCAAGTACTCAACCACTGAGCTACAACCCAGCCCCCCCATCATGCTACCTTAACTCTAATAAAAAGCTTCTTTACTTGGTAATTTGAATTGCATATTCTTAGCTGCAGATTGATTTTATTTAAATTAACCATGTTAGTATTTGAAAATGTAGCATAAATATATATAAGATTAACTTCCACATAATTATATTTTAAATGGGAAAAATAGTATTAAATCAGTCAAGAGAGGCATGCTTGTCAATCTTTTTGATTCATTTTTATTCGTAATTTTAGGCCATTGTCTTCTGAGAAATGTATATATTTCTAGCTTTGCTATCAAATAGCCCAACTGCAGTATTTTGTTTTGGGTTTTTTTGTTTTGTTTTGTTTGGTTTGGTACTGGGGATTGAACTCAGGGGCATTCAACCCCTGAACCACACCCCAGCCCTTTTATGTATTTTATTAGAGACAGGGTCTCACTGAGTTGCTTAGCACCTCCGTTTTGCTGAGGCTGGCTTTGAACTTTCCATCCTTCTATCTCATCCTCCCTAGCCACTGGGATTACAGGCATGCACACCATGCCTGACCCCTTTACACTGAGCTTGCTTAAATTATTTTAGTAAAAGTTAAATTTTCAAAAGATGGACCAGTAGATTGATAATTGATTGTTTTTTAGGTTTTAGAATTAAATAGAATATCTTACATAACCTCTCCCACCCTCCAATTTTAGTTGAGTACCTTAAATGAGGTTTCTAATTTTACCATATATGTCACGATTTTAAGAAACTACCTATTTTTTTAAAAAGCATGAATGATATTGGAGTCGTTTCTTCTGTCAGGCTGTGCCAGGGCTTGGATAGAGATGCTGCTTTTCTTCTTGCCCTGTGGGGCAGGTTTCTTTGGAGCAGATCTTCCTAGACATTTGTTTCCAGTCACAGGTGACAGCCTGGCTATTCTGAGGAAAGCTAGTTATTGCTTTTCACTTGAGGGGTAAGGTTGAGTCAGGTCTTCTCCTTAATTGCCAGAATGGGTTTCTAGTGCATGTTGTGTGTTTCTCTTCTATTCACTCTGTGCTGAACTTTGAGTTTTAGCTTAACTCCATTTATATCTCTATGTAGGTAATTTAGGGCTCCTAAATGTTTACTCGGCCGTGCTTTAGCCTGTAGTTTCTATGTTCCTTGGACTTGCTTCAGTTCATCTTCCTTTCTTTGCCTCATTTTGCCCGGTTCCTGCTGACTATCACATTCTTTCAGGCTACATTGCCCACCAGTCCCACTTCACAATAAATCAAAATTAGACTACAGGCCATCATCATAGGACAGAGGAATTTGTGTCCTAAAGGGAGCCACAACCTTTAGGCTTAGGCTGTTTATATCATCATAGCTAAAATCCAATATGGGTCATAGCCCTGCCTTCCTGTTGCCTTTCACTGACATCCGACTACTTTGTAAGTGGTCCCAACATGCTGGATTTTTAAAGATCAGGCTCTCCTACAATTCTAGTGTCTAATACTCTTTTTCTTAGGGCTACTTTTCTGGATCCTACTTCACATATCCTTGTAGTACAGCTTACTTTGACCTGGGCTTTTCCAGTCTGTCAGTGCCTGCAAGCAAGCCATAACCATGCTTTTTATAGATTTGTATTTGAACAAAACCCAGCTCTATGAGCACAGCACTAAATTGGGTACCCTACTATTAGTACCCTACTTAACAGTTGGGCTCTGCTTTTCTAACCTTTAGGAAAGGAAATGCAGCTGCTCCATTTCTGCCAAGGTCTGAGCTAGGGTATTTAAAGCTAACTTGGTCTTTAAGCTGTCCCAGTAGTGTTGTGCTACTCTGAAAACCCATTCCATGTAGATAAACTGATGGCTTAGACCTACCAGTGCATTTTACCCCGTGCCCTAAAGAAGGGGACAAAGGCCTGAAATCATTGGTGTTCTCTAATGTTTACTTCCCTTTTTTCCTTAAAACTAGGGACACTTTTGCTCAAATAGGAATACTATTTGTGAGGTAGCATTTATATCACTTTTTTGTGGTGTTAATGATCAAAACCAGGGCCTCATTCATGCTAAGCAAGCATTCTACCACTGGGCTACATCCCCCAGCTCACATTTACATCACTTTTTATCCCAAGCTTTAGCATCACAGGGAACTTTGAAGGTCCTACCCTAGAGAGACTTCTTGGTCTGGGTAGCATCTCTAGACACTTAGGCTTTTTGCCATGTTGAGTTCATTTTTTTGGCAGTTATTACACTGCCACCTAGATTAATTAAGGATGCATGATTAAGTAATTGAGATACCCTAAAATTAGATATAAAGCTACTCATTTACACATGTCTCAAAGTCCACTAGGAATATTTAGATTATTCTTATCTGGACGCCTCACCCTCCCAACATATTGGAATGCCTAGGCCCATCATTCATGGCTGGAACATCTTGCATTCCTTATCCATAGTACAGTTTGTTTCTGTGCCATCAGACAGTGTTTTTCCTGTGTGCAACAAAGAATAGCCTTGGGGAAAGGTGGGGGTGGATCCTAAACATCCTCCTCTTCTAATATGTCCTCCTCTTCTTCCACTTCCCATATGGTGGTAGTTTCCCTAAAGCAGCATTGGCTCCCCAGACGCCTACAAAGTAGTATGATTCCCAAGCAGAAGAATTCCTTATTCATCACACACTTGTCATATTAATCCCATTTGGCAACCTGAATCCCCTTTACTGGGTTTCTTTTTTCTTGTATTCTGTTCTTAGATTGGAAGATGGAAGTTGTCTATTACTTCCTGAAATAAGGCTTGTCTTTTATCCACTAGTGTTCAGAAGTGCCCTCATTAAATATCTTCTGCTTACCCCAGAAAGGCTTTTTAGAAACTCTTGAGGATCTGATTATGCATCAGAACAGGACAAATAACCTAGTCAGAATTCATGAGGCACCTCTGGGAATGTTGCCTCCGAAAAACTCTGAGCAATTGTGCATTTGGTTAGGAAGGCACAGAGTGCCTAAGCACCATAGATTATCCAGAAAACCTCATAGATTATGCCTGTAAGCTAAGTGCCTACCAGATCTCTGCCCATGGAAAAGAAGGAAAGAAAGGAGAGGGCATGAAGACAACGTAGAAAGGAAGTTAGAGACTGGAATTTGTGGTTTGGGGAGTTGAAAGAAATTGTGGAAGTCCTGGAGTACAAAGATATGATGGGAACCAAGATCAGACCAGTCCACAAGGATTTATTGTATAGCTGCCAATGTCTGAGCTGAAGTGTGCCAGGTGCAGAGTAAGTGTAAGGATATCATTGCATTTGAGCATTTGTGATCTAGAGCCTCTGGTTTCACTACCTACCCCTCTGACCTCCCTGTCTTACTTGGTGATTTCTCTTTCTCCAAACATTCTTTTTAAATGTAAGCATTTCCTGGTGTGATATTTGTTATTCTCCTTCCTAAATCCTCCCATATGCCTTGATTACCCTTACCTCTTCCCAAGATTTCACTGTCACTTTTGTTAATGTCTTCCATCCTGACTGCTTCCCAGACCTCCAGATGTTCAGCTGCCTCCCAGATACCATCACATACATATCCTAAAAACACCTCAGATTTAATATGTTCAAAATCACGCTTGTATTGAAACATGCTGCAGCATGGATGACCCTTAAAAATATGCTAAATGACAGAACCTGAAGCCAAACACAAAAGGACACCTTATTGTATGGTTCCGTTCTTATGAAATGTCTAGGACAGGCAAACCCATAGAGACAGAAAGTAGAGTAGTTATTGCCAGGGATCAAGGGATTAGGAGAAAAACTGGGGGTAGGGTATGAGGTTTCTTTTTAGAGAAAAATATTTTAAAACTGTGGTCGTTGGTTGCACAATTCTGTGAATGTACTAAAAAGCCATTGAATTGTACACTTTAAAGAGCTGAATTGTATAGTATGTGAATTATATCTCAGTAAAGCTGCTAAAAATAATATCTTAAACTCTCCTCCTCAGACCACTCACTTCCCCTTCTGGTCCATAGCTCTTGCAGCTACCCAAGTCAACCTAGATATTCGTCCTGCTAATCATTTGTGCCAGTTCTCCTTCCAGCTTTAATGTTCCAAGTCTTCTTATTTCTGTCACTCATTCGTAACTCCATTCAATTCATTTGTTTTAATGGCTGCATATTATTCCGCTGTATGAATGTATTGTTTATTTAAGTGCTTTTCAAACCTTTTTGCTCACATTCTCTAAAATTTTATAAAATTATCTACTTTCTTAAACATTTTTAGGTTATCTGTTATTTTTTCAATCATGAGTTGTTGTAAAGGATATAATTTCTTTCATATTATAAACACTGACAGTCTTAAATAAAACTGTTACATCATTCTTTTAAATCGCTTCAGTGGAACCTGCATACCACAGAAATTTGATAACTAGCATCATCCATTTAAAAAATATATATGAATAAGTTCTTTTACCACTAAGAAATTTTATCTCATTCTTTTTTTGCCTTAAATTTAGATTTCATTCTACTTCCTCCATAGAATTTATTTCTTGATCACCAAATTTAATTTGGCACATAATGTTATTAGATTTCTGTGACTATTAGGTATTAAATATTTTCTCTGGATTGAGTTAATGTTATAGTTAAAAATACCATAAATATATTACAAGTTTTGTTCAGTGTTGATTAAACAAAAAAAGTTTTACTGGAAATACATTTCTTTTTTCAACTAGTTCATGTACTTATAAATATTACTTATTGCTAGTAGAATAATACAGTGTTCAAGTATCTATTCTAATTCTATTTTTTCTTTTTATAGATGTAAGTGCTGAGAAACCTTGTTTATATGATTATATAGATGGGAGTGAAAAGACTACTATATATAGCAATGCCACTCGGTTCTTTGGACTCACTCTGAATTATAGGCCAAAAAATCACTTAGTGATCTATCACCAAAAAGTATTTTGAGTGTTCTATCACCAACAGCTTGAGTTTGTCCTCCTTCAGTTTTTGTTAAGCAAAGTTAAAAGAATTGAAAACCATGTGACTTAGAGTACAAAAAAGTGCTATTTATTAGTAGTTGTTAGGTTCATTCACTTTCTTGACATATCTTGAGGTTTGTCAGGTAATATAAAATAGTAGATTCAGGGCTGGGGTTGTGGCTCAGTGGTAGAGCGCTTGCCTTGCATGCATGAGGCACTGGATTCGATCCTCAGCACCACATAAAAATAAATGAATAAAATAAAGATATTGTATCCATCTACAACTAAAAAAAAATTTTAAATAATAGATTCAGGATGAGAAGAAGATGTATCTTTCAAGTATAAGGTAGAAGGCAGGGAACCAGACTTAATTATGCAGGCAGGATAATTTTGGAAAGTGAACACTGGGAATTCAAGGGTCAGGAAATTAATTCCTTCAAACTATTTGTATTCACATACTCCTTGAAATGTCTTCATCTACTTCTAAGGGTATGTGTGCCCCAGTTCAGGGATCCCTGACTTGCTTAACCAAGCCTCTGTTGATAACTTAAGTGTAGCTTACAGGTTTTCAGTAATACTGCTTAAGGGCATTGACATTTTGGTACCTTGTCATATTGCCCCTTTTACTTATTTATACTCTTACCAGCAGTACATGAAAGGATCTACTTACCTACGTCCTAGCCAGCACTACACATTCTGTCTTTATTATCAGGTATCAACTTAATAGCAGAAAGTAATCATATTGTTTGCCTTTCTTTGATTATTAATGGTGTGCACATCTTTTTTATATGTCCATTGGCCATTTGTATTTCTTCCCTCAATTTTCCTATTTCTATACTTTACCAGTGTTTCTATTAGGAAATGGTGATTTTTCTTATTGATTTGTAAAAGCTTGTGATCTACTGAAGCTATTTACTATCATTTTGCTTGTGTTTATGTCTGTTAGCTCTTTATGCTGGTTTTTGCATCATAGAACTTTTAGATGGTCATGGATTTGTCAAGTTTGTCCCATATGGTTTCTTTTTTTCATTATTAGTTCTTTTTAGATACACATGATAATAGAGTGTATTTTGACATATTATACATACATGAAGTACAACTTATTTCTAATTAGGATCTCAATCTCATGGCTATACATGATGTGGAATTTCACTGTGCTATATTCATATATAAACATAGAGAAGTTGTGTCCAATTCATTCCACTGTCTTCCTTTTCCTATCCCCCTCTCTTCCCTTCATTCCCCTTTGTCTAATCCAGTGAACTTCTCTTCTTTCCCATATGGTTTCTAGATTTTACATCGGGCTCATAAAAATTATTTTCTGTTTCCTTTAGGTAGTATTATGGTTAATTTTTAATGCAGAAATATTTAATCCATTTAGAATTTATTGATATTATAAAATGTGAAGTTGCATCTGTTTTTTCCTCACTGAATTTAGTCAGTTTTTCTAACCCTATTTATTGTAGAATTTGTCTTTTCCCTACTGATTGAAAAATGCTACTTTTGCTATATTCTAGATTCTTACATATTCCTGGCCTCTTTTTTGGAAGCTTTGAAGCTGTCTTACATCCTTGCCTCCTGCAATTTGCCTGTTCAGTCTCTTTACTAGTAGCACACTTATTGTCCTGGAACATAGATTGTATCATATTCTCTTACAGAAACTCTTTCCAAGTGTTCTATTGACTACAAAAAAAAAGAGACCAAACTTGTTAGCTAGGTCTAGTCCTAACCACATTTCCCCATGGCCCTCTGCTTTTTATAGCATAGCATGTGTTTTTCTGTATTTGTACCTTTGTTCCTACAGTTCTCTTGGCTAGAAATAGCTATCTGATCCCTATTCTTTTTTGTAACCAAGCTGTACTTTCCTTTTAAGGCCCAGTATAAAGCCTTACCAAAGCCCCCTCTTTAACTTTTGTTTCATTTGATTTCTAATTATTATGGTTTACCTTCCTACTTCCACAAATATAGTATCAACTTCTTAGAGTTGAAGGGGTCTCATTAGTCTTTCCTCTTCTTCTGTTGCCTTTCATCTGATCAGTCTTTAGAAAACGCTTGTTGAATGGAATTGAATTTTATTATATATACACACACTCATATAAAGTCTGGAGGAAATCAGGTGCAGATTTTAAAAAGAGTCCTCTCCTAGTGGAATCATACAGGACTTGCTTAATTACCCCAGCAACAAGTTGTTACAACATATGTGAAATGTTGCCAGCCTGGAAAGCTCTCTAGATTCAGTACCCAGGGCTTTTGCTGGGTGCTGATCATTTAAGCACCTGCTTCAGGTACACACACTAGCCTCCCAGAAGGAAAGTGGGTATTCAAGAGAAACCATATTATTTACACAAATAATTTTAGCATGCACCAGTTAATGGAAGGAATGAACACTCCTGAAATTTAAGTTCTCACATGCCCGTCAAGGGCCAGCCTTACAAGCAGGACTTTCCAAGGATAGTAGTCAGGCCTGCTGTGTTTAACTCTTTCTGTATACTATATTTTTGAGGGCTTAATTTCACAGATGGTAGATGACTAACAGGAGAAAAGGATCAGTATAATAGGAATAGTCAGGGCATGTAAGTACTATTATTTGATACTGTCTTCATAGAGGAGGTAGGTTATAAGATAAGGCATGGAGAAGAGCTGGACATAGAAAGAGCTAATACCATATTTGGCAGTAGGTTGTAGGATTAAAGTAAAATGGTATTGTATAAATTAGAGCCTCCAAAGCTGTGTATATTCAGGATTTGATGTGTTAATAGTAGGACATATTCCTAGACTGAGAAGGAGAAGGATGTTCACTTGGTTAGCAGTTGATAGGTTTCTGTGAAAGAAAGATGAGATGCAGAAGGACCAGCAGAGGAACATTTGCAGTGACCCAGGTGTCAATTTATGAAGACCTAGCTGAGAGGGAGCTCATATATCTAGTTCAGCATTCTATTTTCAAATCATTGGAAGTGCAGGGGATTAACTTGAGAGACGGTGTGAAAGAAGCTATGTCCAGGGTGAATGCAGTTCAAAACAATTGCACATTTTTATGAAAAAAAAATTTCAGTTGAATTTTCTTTTGAATTATTGTAGTTACAATTTCCTTTTAAAGTTATTAGTAGATAACATTTTATTTAAAGATAAATTTATGATTTTTATATTGTACAAGTAAGAATATGATCAAGCCTACCTCTATTTAAAGGAATGATGTTGAACAAAATATATTTGCATGTATTTTGAACATTTCATTAACCAAAATAGAAGAATAAGAATTTTCTATCAACACTGTTTTTGTTTGGAATTGAACATTTCCATACTAATACAAATGCCAATAAATAAATCAACTTTTAAATTTCTTTCAGTTTTAATATTGTAAGATCCTAGTAAAAGGTAAGGATACATGTATTAATAAATTTTTATTCTTTAATGTCCCTGAAAAACATGTCATTCTACCATTTTTGTTTTTATTACTTGCATGGTCTTATGTCAAGTTTGTAGTTGGTAATTTAATATTGTGTATAGTATCACAGTATGGAATCCACATTCATTACCCTTTAATCATAGTCTTACTGTTCTTGTGAATCCTTTTCCCATATTTATTGAAACCTTATGAATTTACATTGTAGGTAACCACCTGAAAGCAAGAAAGCTTTTTCCCCTTTAATAGCTTTCTCTGCAGTGATCAGTCATTAGAAAAGCCCATATAATTGTAGAATTAGAAATATCATATAATGGGAAGGACAAAATAGTAGTTTGAAGTTGTACTTGTGTCACATCAGGCTCTGTATTGGAGAGACAAAGGTTTAAGTGTCTCAAGTTTATGCCAGGGATGCCCTCCCTCCCCAAAACTCACCCAACTAGCAGAATGCTGTTTTCATCAGTTTACTAATATCAGTGTTATCTAGTGTCATGTTTTTTGTCGTACTGACTTATCATTTGATATCTGCTTTGATGTGTTCTCTTATTTGTGTGTTTGGGGTTCTACATAACTTTTGTGGGGATCTCAAGGTGCAAATAGTACTATATAAGTTAAACTGTCAAAAATTGAGATGCGAACTCTAGCTCAGATATTATAACTGATTGTTTCTTATTTTGAAGTCTCTATTTCTCTTGTTTTCTCTTGGTAGGAATATACAAACATTGCTACAGAAACCTAATCTGGAATTGTTACAAATGGAAGCAACCCTTCAGGAGGATATTTGGGAACATCTGTTTTTGTCCGGAATTAGAATTGGCACTAAGGGCACTAATACTGTAACTTTCTTGATAAAATAACTTTATTTTTCAGTAGTGGAATGCTGCAACTTTTTTACACTTAAAATTGCTTTTAAATTACAGTATTCAGTTTAAAAGTTGTATTAACTACCGTTTCTTTTGCAAAAAGTCTCAATAGAAATACTTGAAGGGCATTATTTGTTGATGCATTTTTCTCTAAGCATGGTTTCGAGAGAACTTAACCAAGTTATATCCAGATATTTATATGTTGAAAGCTTTGTTTATGTAAAACAAAAGTATCTGAATTGTATAGTGTCTGTACATGAAAGAACTTTAACAGTGGCCTTACAGTAGCTAATTTTATACTGGGTTTTTCTTTTTCTGATGACATTTTGGCTTATAACTTGAAGTTTTCTTAAGTTTCTGATGATTAAGGCCTATATAATTCATACATTTCATATTATGATATCAGAAGGCTAGAGAAAAGGTGCTTCAAATTTTCCATCAGGTAGTTGTGAGTGCACTGAATTTTTAGTAATTTGTTCATTCAGTTGTTTCCACAACTATTTGCTCTTTTCCAATTTCAAAATGCTATTGTGGAAAATGTAAAGATTTTGTAATCTATATTCCATCTTATTTTTCCCTCAGGGCAAGCTTGTGCATATCATATTTTTAAAGGCTTTTAAAAATGTGACAGACAAAATCTCATATTTGAAAATTGTACTTTACTACTACAGCATTACATGTTTTGCAAGCACATCTTATAGAGTGTTTATTTTCAGTTCAGTTGATATGTATAGTGTGCCTACTATATGTAAGATAGAATCGATGGGATTTTAAGTGAAATTTTTAGGTCCCAGTACCTGATTTCTTTATGTTTTCTATGTTCTGCTTAACAATACATATACATTCCCAACTAAATTTTTGTGAAATGTTTATTTGTAATAAAGTAAAATATTGTTGCTCTTTCTGCTTGAAGAAGTTACTCGACAATTTGTGTGAATGTTATTTTAATTTTCATTGAGACTTACAGCCTTGGGTAGGACCTGTTGATCTTTAATGTTGCTCAGCACTTGTGAAGACAGTGCTGAGCAACATTAAATCAAAATATGAAGGTTGGTAAGAACTTGGTATTTCATAACAGGATTATAAAAAATCTTACTACAAACATTTAGGTCTTTGCATATCTTGAAAAGATGGGACAGTCTTTGCTTTACATGAGTCATCTGTTAAAGGGATAGGGCAAGAGCACTTGATTCATTGCTAACTGGATAATAAATTTAGGCAGATGGCCTTCTCTATAGGTCAGGTTTTAAAAAAGTATTTAACATTCTGCTTATGGTAAAAAAAAAGAAGGGAATGCAAATAGTATGACAACTTTGTATTGTATGAGTACTTATAAAATCTGTCAAAATTAAAAAATATATATTTTTAGTTGTAGTTGGACACAACACCTTTATTTTATTTATTTATTTTTATGTGGTGCTGAAGATCAAACCCGAGGCTGCATATGTGCTACACGAGTAGTCTACTGCTGAGCCACAACCCCAGGCCACCGCACCCCTCCCTTCAAATTTTAAAATAATTTATTTCAGGGGCTAGGATTGTGGCTCAGTGGTAGAGCACTTGCCTAGCATGTATGAGGCACTGGATTTGATCCCCAGCACCACATAAAAAAATAAATAAAAATATTGTGTCCATCTACAACTAAAAAAAATATATATTAAAAAAAGAATTGATTTCATTTGTTCCCATATCTAGAGGACAGTTATGGGCTTTGAATGAATATTTAATTATTTGGTTGATAACTATTTCATAGATAGTGTGCTTAAATTAAGGCAATGAAGAAGACACATGGACCCTGCCCTTATAGTACAGACAGTCTAATAGGGAAAATGGACATTAGATATAGAAATGAAACTTGTTAAACAACATCAGTTCTATAGCCCTATTTTTATTTATTGTAGCAAGGGTAAGATGGTTGATTTAATTTACTCATTCCACAACTGATTCGCTATTTAGGCCTATTTGAATATACTTTTGTCACTGTCTCAAAATGCAAAGCATGTTAACTACAAAATACCTATTCAAAAAACATTGCATGGGGCTGGGGATGTGGCTCAAGCGGTAGCGTGCTCGCCTGGCATGCGTGCGGCCCAGGTTCAATCCTTAGCACCACATACAAACAAAGATGTTGTGTCCACTAAAAAACTAAAAATAAATGTTAAAAAAATTGCATGTATAAGATATAAAGCCTAAATAGGAAAACTTGCTTTATAATTTAGTGTATAAAATAAGAACAAGGAGGATGTGGTTGTGGCTCAGTGGTAGAGTGCTTATTGCTCACGTGTGAGGCACTGGGTTCAGTCCTCAGTACCATATTAAAAAAAAATAGAATAAAAGTATTGTGTCCGTCTACAACAAAAAAAAATTACCAAAAAAAAGAACAAGGGACCATATTAATCTTATTCACCATAATGTCACCAGTGTCCAACATCCTACTTGACACTTAGCAGGAACTCACTAAATGGAAATGTTAATTGAATGCTGAATGAGTAGTTAGTAGGATGTTTATTAGGATCTTCATATATAATTTTCATATGGAAGTTAAATAGGTTGTCTGTAGCTTTGGGGATGGGGATTGTACTCGGGAGCACTCGACCCCTGAGCCACATCCCCAACCCTGTTTTGTACTTTATTTAGAGAGAGGGTCTCACTGAGTTGCTTAGCACCTCGATTTTGCTAAAGCTGGCTTTGAACTTGCAATCCTCCTGTCTCGGCCTCCTGAACTACTGGGATTACAGGCGTGCGCCACCATGCCCAGCAGCATTTTTAATTGACTAGAAAGAATCTGAATTCTTGAATGAATAAGATTTGAGAAGTTTTTTGAAGCATCCTATACCATTACTAACTCCACTTCCCCCCTGCATTCTAGGCCCTTCACTGGCACTAAGAACACAGTAAGACACAATCCCTGCTCTGAGGAACCTCACAAACTATCCAGGAAGAGATTGACAAAGAATTGGAACATAATAGTGTTAAATATTATAATAGACATAAATGCAAAAGATTGAAACTTTGACATTCCTAGTTGAGCATCCCCTCTTTGAAATTCTTCACTAAACTTAGAAGGTACTATTCTGTTGGTGATTTTGCCGGTTATAAAAATTGACCTATTGAAAGAAACTGGGTACATGGAATCTTTGTATATTATTTCTCATAGTTGCATGTGAATCTATGGTTATCTCAATACACGATTAAATTTTAAAACTACTCATGGTTCTATCACAGAGAAGATTATCATGCATATTTTGGAGGATACATTTTCTTTGGGAAAAAAAACTATATTTACATTACAACAATTTAAGTAGATGTATAAAGGTACCACATTTTACCTAATGGATCTAAATCAATTTTTGTGGGGGTTTTTTTTTTTTTTGCTTGTTTTTTTTAAATTTTAATATTTATTTATTTTTTTAGTTTTAGGCGGAAACAACATCTTTGTTTATATGTGGTGCTGAGGATCAAACCCCGCTTGAGCCACATCCCCAGCCCCACTTGTTTTTTTTTTTTTTAAGGGTTTTGTTGTTGTTTATGGTTCTGGGGTGCAAACCTCGGAGAATTGTGCATACTAGGCAAATGCTTAACAACTGAACTACATTTCCAGCCCTTGGATCTTTTTTTTTTTCTTTTTAATGGATGGGTTACTTTTAGGCAGAAGCAGGAAAATTAAGGTGGGTTAGAAAGTCGTTCCTTTTCCATCACCTAGCAAATTCAGTAACCACCAAATAAGGAAAGGAGAAGATGCTCATGGCAATAAGGTATAGTATGACTTTGAACCCTTCTGCATGGCACTGAGTAAAGAAACAGTGTTGACAAAATCTTGGTAATAATGGACCCCCAAATATGAACAAAGGAACTAATGGGGTGACCAGGACACATGGAGGAGAATCAAGGAAAACCTTTGAGATACCAAAGTCTTTACTAACATCCCAGCATTTCCAGGACTAGATGTTTCCCAGATGCCAGAGCAGCCTGGGGAAGCCACTGAAGAAATAAGGTATATCTTAGGGTCCAATGAGCCCTGGTTTTGGAAATTTAATGAGAATTCAGAAGAGAAGGGATACTAGATTTCCCCACAAAGTTCCAGCCAAAGGAATGTTTATGAGCTTTGAGTCCATTAAACTACAGAATTAAGATGTTTAAACAAGAGTCATAGTGGTAGAATAGCATATAAGTGTTAGAAATCTTGACAAAACTTAACACACATTGACAGATTGGGACATGGGGGAAGGAAAGTGGGATAAAGAGTAGGTACTACTACTGTCTTCTCTTTCATGGAGATGTTTCATAACATCTTTAAGATTATAGGGATAAAAACCCTAATGACCACTGTAACTTTTTCATAGTTTTATTTTTCCTTGATCTTAGCACAGTTCTCAAAGTGTGGTGTCAAACCAGGAACATCAGCATCTCCTGGGAACTTGTTAGAAGCATAGATTGTTGGCCCTACTCCAAACCTCCTGAATCAGAAACCCTGAGGTGGGTGCCCAACAACCAGTGATTCAATAAACCCTTCAGGGGATTCTGTTGTATACCCAAGTTTAATAACTACTGCCTTACTTACTCTTTGAAGAACCGGTAGAGGTAGAGGTATGATGAAGAAATATTTATGAAATGTAGCAACCCCTTCTGTTTCATTTCTAATTATTTTCTATTCAAATAAAATCAAATTTAAAACTTTAAAATAAAAAATGTAGCAATTGCATCAATTCTGTGCATACATATGAATGAATACTGTTCTGGAAGTTTACCAACCCCTGTTAAACTGTTATTTAAGTAATAGGATTGTGAGTAATGGTGCTTTTCTGCCAGATATAATGAACATTGTATCATTTTCATAAAGTTTATTCTTTTGTTTAAAAGTATGACACTTCATCCTAACCATTTGATATCTGTCACTAAAGTTCATGTGAGCAAGCTTTAACTCTGTAAACTATCTATTTCACTATAGTCCAGTGGAGTTTTACTCTCTACCCTTCCTCCTCTCACATAAAAGAACAGGTAGGCTTATTTAAGTATGCATTGTGTTGACTTTTTAATAAAAATTATTGGTTTGCAATACTTAACATAATAATATAAAATTTAAATTCATCTTACTACTGTTTTTTTAATATTTTAATATTTATTTTTTAATTGTAGTTGGACACAATAGCTTTATTTTATTATTTGTGATGCTGAGGATTGAACCCAGGGCCTCGTGCACGCTAGGCAAGTGCTCTACCGTTGAGCCACAACCTCAGCCCTTACTGCTGTTTTTTAAAAAGAAAAACAAAATGTCTTAACCTGATAAGAAAAAGTTGTTCAAGACTGCAGCTGCAAAATAGAGTTACTTTTGAGGTTCTTACATGTCACCACACCAACGCCTAAGTTGTTTTGTTCTAAGAAATCAGAAAAGAGATGATAGCAAAATCTTATTAAGTCCACAAGATTTCACTTACATCCCTATAAGGAAAGTTAACTTTGAAATGACTAAGTCATCTTATATTTGTTCTTTGTCCCTACTTCCTCCACTTCTTTTTTTAAACATTTTTAGTTGTAGATGGACACAATACCTTTATTTATTTATCTTTATGTGGTACTGAGGATTGAACCCAAGGCCTCACACATGCTAGGGGAGCACTCTACCACTGAGCCACAACCCCAGCCCTCCTCCACTTCTTTATACCTATAAAAATCATTTACTCTGTTTAGCTCATTGGAGTTCCTTTCTGTTTTATAGATGGGGTGCTGCCTAGTTCATGAATCAGCCACTCAGATCTTTGAAACTCCATTTGTTGAAATTTCTTTGATAAAGCACATAGAATGGTATGTAAATGGGAAAAATTCACAATCCCACTGCTCAAAAATATTTTATCCTCCAAAATATTCTTTGTATTTTTTCATTAGTCCTTTTTCTGAGCTTTGCTTAATTTAGTTGATGGC